TGACTTTGATACCATGTTAGAGGACCAACTCAACCAAAAATTTAAGGTGATGGCTGAGGCCCAAGAATATGTTTTTATACTCTATCAATACAAGTTAAGAGATAAACGCTACGCGTGTACAATATAAGAAATTAGATGGAAAAAAATAATCGATTCAAGAGTGGTTTTACTTCGATATTTTATAGGGAGTGAGGACAGTTGAATATGTAAATTTATGTGGAAGAAAGGGAGCGGTTATTATTGGGTAGTTATGATAGAATTATTTTAAAAAAAAAATTCCTAAATTTTAACTGTAATTGTAAAAAAATAATAAATAAATAAATAAAGGTAATTTTACAACTTGAGAAGGGTATAGTAAAATTTATCATCCAAAAGGCCCTTTCACTTTATATATAGGATAGGATAGGATTATTTAATTTAATATGAAATATACTATATTCAACCTTGATATACAAATAGTGATCAAAAAAGTTAAAGCGTGTCAATTATTCCGGAATCAAACGGAGTAAGTAATAGTAATATTCCACTCTCCAATCGACCAACACTAATTTAATTTTATAGATACAAATTAACTAAAAAAAATTCAAATGATATTATCATATACATAAAATGTGCAGTTAAAGTTAAATAATAAATAAATAAATAATTAGTGTCAAAACTCAAAATGCTAAATCTGTTGTTAAACCGGCAGTATATGTTAACCTTTACTAATTCACTTATATACCACAGTAAAAAAAAATGTCAAAATTTTGACGATCAAGCCATTGTAAGCACTCCTACTAATAACTCCGTTGAAGTACATGTTTATAAAGAGGTGAAATTTTAATGCGTAAAACCAAACAGGCAGTATGAAACTTTATTAATTAACATTTCAAATCATGCCAAACTTCCAATTATATATAAAACTGTCATCCAATAGTCACTGATCATATGAAGTGGAAAACGACTTTAAAATGCAAAATATATATTAGCACAAGAAAGTAAATTAACATGAAATAATTTATAGTACTTTATATTTTTCAACGTCTAAATACGTACGATTTCTTGTAACATGTCTTTTTATTACCAAACTGGCCTAACTTATCAAGTCGAGTCTGACGAGTTTCGAATCCTTGTTAATAAAATAATCAAGTGATTAGTGATAATGACAAAGATAATTAATTAAACAAATGTAATTTTACGGCTAATATTTGGAGGATCGCATCATTTAATCAATGAAAGAAGAAGATTATGCTTTTTAGGGGGGCAGCATCAGCTCTCACTAGCCAACCATAACAGAATATTTATCTTCTTTGCTTTGTATTGTCGTTTTGAGGGTTGTCACATCATCAAATTACGACCTTTTTATTAGAAGCACTTTTATTAGTCACATTTTTTTTTTTTTTTATTTACTCATTTTTTTTAGCAAAATGAGAGATATTAGTAGTGTCATAGATATTCTTCTATGAGTTCTAAGCCACACATATAGTCTTTTGTATATCTTTTTATTCATTAGAATTTCTCTCGTGAAAAGGGCTTTGTAATCTCTTTTAAAAAAAAAACTTGTTCTCTTTTAATTACTCATGGACAACAGGACAAGTAATATCATTAATATGTAGTGTTTTATGAATTCAGATGATCATAAATACAATACAGAGTAATACTGGTCAAAGTTGTTCGTTGCATGTGTTAGATGTGCATATATATGTCCGATATAAGTGTTACGACTTACGAGTAATTACCAAACAACTTGGGTTAAAAAAAGACTTGCTCTAGTATGAAATTTATCACGTATCACCAATACAAAGCACCCAAGGCTCGGCCCAGTTAAAGAAACGGACCAGCCCAAAACCTTTAACAAATGTTCGCAAATGTTGTCCACGTCTGTGGCTTGAGACCTGGCCCAAAACATAATCCTTACATGTGTAAATGGGCCAAACTTTAGTTTCACTATACCAAAGCCCAAAAAGAGTTACTCTAGGTTGCAGCCCAAAAAAATGTTTTGACTTATAGTCTCTTGGTTGCAGCTCATAAAAATGTTCCCACACATATTCATAAAAATGTTCCCACACTATAGTCACAAACTCACAACTCACAAGATCTAAAACGACTTCGCCCTTTAACTCTTTGGAACAACCTTGGAAGCCTGAAGCCCCGAGCCCTAATCGGATTTCGGTTGCTTTTGGTTCCGTATGACTTTGGTCCTATCTTGTAAATAGGTATAATCAGTTATGCCATGACATTTTCTCCTAGAATGCATGTTTATGGATAATCTTATTATTGTTACTTTAAAGAGTAAACCTATTCTTTTACAAGCACATATTTTTATTTTTTTTTAAAAATAAAAATCACTGATAAACAAGAAAACACTAATTAAAACGGCACCATAAGATAGCTTGGAAATCATTAGTCATCTTTTTTCCTTTTTTTGCTTTCATTTACGTGGCATTTGCTTAAAATCTTAGAGGGTTCGAATTGAAAACCTCCTTGTGGCTCCCAATTATTGGTCAAATGTCAACAGTATGTTGTAGAAGGAAGTAATTTGAACCCGCCTTCCAACGGCTCTAGAAAAGTCTTATCGAATGCCAGTTTTATGTTCCCTTTCAACACCCTAGCTAATGGCCAAAACACTTTGGCCTAGCTGCTTTGTCCCATAATAAAATCCATACAACACATTAAGCACACTAGATGTTGCTGTAAAGATGATAGCCTTTATGTATATCTTACTCGTGAAGATATCGTGGATAAACATCCACACTCCACAATAAACCAATTGATATTTCCAATAATAGTATAGTACGGCGTAATTATATTCCCTCTATTTTTAAAAGACGTTTTTGCCTGGAACATCTTGATTTTAGAGTCACAATATTTAGTTTAAGTACTCACTGTAAAAGAAAAAACAAACAATACGTGGACAGGTCTTCTAAAATTTAAACTTTGTGAAAATTTGATTACGCATGTGATTTTACCGTTTTAACTCTTTAAATGCATGTGTTTAATAATAATACATACTCTGTAATAATCAAATACATTTATAGTCATTTACTACCATAAAAATAAACATCTTTAATTTATCTATCAACACCTCTCGATCACAAATTTTGTATATTTAGAGAAGAGAAACATCTACTTGGTACGTTTTATTTAACATGTTAAAAAGGAATATGTAGGACAATATCCTTTACATAAACATAACTATAAAGTCTATAACAAGTCAAAACATGGAATTGATCTCACGGAAGGAACGTTCCTTATGCCTAATGATTAAGACTACCACTTTATGAGGATGTTCATTATTCAATCCTCTTTCCAGCTCAACTCATAAAGATAGTTCGTAATCTTCTTCCTTTTTTTGACAAAATAGTTCGTAATCTTCTTTATTTGCATGATTTTTGAAGTTTTAATCTCTTAATAGACATAATATTCAAAACCAAGTGGTTTATCGTGGTCTATTCTTGTCTATTTTTTTAGCGTACTGTATTATGTACACTCTACTTATAATTTGACTCTTTAAACTACAACTAGACATTGCATATTATGAAACAAGTTTAGCTAACAGCACAAATAATAAAATTACAGGAAACTAATTATCTTCACCAGCAGATACTGTATACGAGTATCATTATTGATTTTTCCATGACAGATATACACTGCTCTATACACAAGTATTAACACTCATATAATTGACATACAATAATTTGAGTTAGTTAAGATTAGGCTCCTACCAAAATGCCAGTTCATACGTGTAAGATGTAACCTAAATCTTCATTTCCTCATATTTTTGAATTTTGAAGATAATTTCAAGTATAGAAAATAATTAAACTTGTTTGTTTGTTGGCATAAGTGTTTACAATTCAATTACTATTCTCATTTTAATTTCCATCTTTATATACAATTAATGCCAATCATTCAACGTACAAAGTTGGATTGTACTCAAAAAGTATTATCCAATAGTATACGAAGTACATACTAAGCTTGCTTTTCTAGAATTGAACAATAAGCACGGTGAACATAGGGCATGATCTGATTTACTGAACTGTACTGAGTTGAATTGAATTGAATCGAACTGAAATGAATATTTTATGAGAAAAGGAAATTAGAAACTGAACTTAAATTAAATTGAAGAAAACACACCCTTAGTCTTTTTTGTAAAAGTGTCGCTTAAGGAGTTCTATTAAGGGTCTGTTCTCATCAGATTATTTTCAGTTCAGTTCACCTCCTAATTTCCTTCTCTCATAAAATATTCAATTCAGTTCATTTCATTTCAGTTCAATTGCAAAATATGCCAAAATCATATGTATGAAGTATGATGCACGTTGATGTTGAAGTTTGAATTATAGACTCATTCACAAATAAAACATTTCCAAGTGGACCAAGTCGACCACGTTCTTAGCCATAGATAATGAAATAGACATTCCTAATAATTTCGGATTTATTGGCAAATAAAATTTTCAAAAGACAGGGGTAGCAATCTTGCAGGTAAAGGATCTTTGTCATATGATAGATTATTATCCCAATTCTGACAATTTCACAGAAATTAGTACTAGTTTAGTGGAGTAATTAGCCGCTTCCCCTCACTTTTTTGGTACTTTGCCGAATCTTTTACTCTATTCTTAATAATTTGTCCCACAAGCCTCTCTTGATATTATCCGTGATAAACTTGATAACTCGTAATTAATAGGGTAACTTGATTACTCGTAATTAATAATAAGGTGTTCTTTTTTACCACTTTTTAGAAGCCAACACCCGTACATTATTTTTGTGGTTTAATGCGTCTCAAATTTACAATGATGCCTCTAATGTTACATATTTGTCTACTTTCAGACTACATTATTCGAGTTGGTGAGGTTGGATCGAGTCAATTCATTCGAATATCATTTTCTCGTGTAAATTGGGTCACAAATCGGGTCCTTCTAGTAAGCTAAGGTTAGCTTTATCTAGTCTGTATACATCATTCATGCATGGACATATCAGAAATCCAACGTTGGCGTCTTCTCAATTCTCATCGTCACATTTAAAACAGTCATAATTCTTAGAACATGCCGCCAGACAGTAAAGTTTGCACTAAGATTCTACTCCAACTGGCAAAGTGATGCCCACCTAATCATAATAATTTTACTAACACTATAATTAGCTATTAAACTTAACTACATATATATACTTTATATATCGCTTCAAACTACACAACTTAGAAATAAATTAGCTAGCTTAGCTTTTTAGTGAAAAACACCAAAACAATGAGTCATCGATATCATTATAGTTTAGTTTCTGCCCTGTTAATTGGACTCTGCTTATTTACGCCTTACACTGCAACTTCACTTAGTACAAATTATTACGCAAAAACATGTCCTAACGTCGAAAAAATCGTTAGGCAAGCCGTGCAGAAGAAAATCCAGCAAACCTTCGTTACTATCCCCGGTACTCTTCGCCTCTTCTTCCATGATTGCTTTGTCAATGTAAGTATTTATTTCTTCAATTTTGTACCTTTTATTTAAACAACGGAAAAATTATGCCAAATTTTCCTCCCTATTCTTAAGCCTTGTGTTGTTTTCCTAATAGGGATGTGATGCTTCGGTTATCATTCAATCGACGAGTAACAACAAGGCAGAAAAGGATCATCCAGACAATCTTTCACTAGCGGGAGATGGATTTGACACCGTGATTAAGGCAAAAGCCGCGGTTGATGCTGTTCCAGGATGTACTAATAATGTTTCTTGTGCTGATATTCTTGCCCTTGCTACTCGCGATGTTGTTAATCTGGTTCGTGTCTCTACAATCAGTTGATATAAATATCGTTCATAGTTTTGAGAACTAAATTTGCTATACCACCCTATTTTGGGCTAGGATAAATCAAAGATTAATACATATTAATATGACTAATATATATATGAGATAGATGATTAACCTAGACGCGTATGAATGTAGTCTGGTGGACCGTTTTGGCAAGTAGAATTGGGAAGACTTGACGGGTTGATATCAACAGCAACAAGTGTAAATGGAAGATTACCGCAACCTTCAGATGATTTGAATCGCCTTAATTCTTTATTTGCTTCTAATGGCCTCTCCCAAGCTGAGATGGTTGCTCTCTCAGGTACTCTTACTCTTCTTTTTCTTATATCATAGTATGATACTCCACAACACATCAAAAACACTACCTCCGGTCCAAATTACTCGCAACTTTAGAATTATTTGTGAGATACGTATAATGTATTCCAAAATTGCAAGTAATTTGGACCGGAGATAGTATATTGTATTTCCACTAGTTTCGTTAATAGATACGTATACGGAGTATATGAAATTTTGAAAAGTAATGCATATATATATAATCTAACACATGATCGAGTCTATATAATACAGAGTAATAGATGGATATAAAATGTCATGATCAGCTAGCTAGTCCTACAAACAAATACGTAGTAATATAATATTTTCGGTTTTAAAATCAGTAAATTTGAACTTTGAACATAATATTTTTGGTACAGAGTTTTTTTTTTTTTTTTAAAAAAAAAGACCGTACGGAGTAAAATATAAGTAATTCAAATTCAAGTAAAACAGGTTAATACTACATAATATAAATATATTTCATATATTTATAGGTCATATTATACTTTGTATTTGATTAACGCTCAGTAGTAATAAAGCTATAGATATGTTAAAGTACTACTATTGCTGGCCAATAATTACCATTTAACAAGATGTTTTAGATTTCGAATTTTTGATAGCTTTATACGGATTACTTTTAGAAAAAGGTAGTAAATTATTATTAGATGCGTTACCGTTACGTAATTGGTTGGCCCAAATATTTGGACGGTTTCAGAATAGCATGTAGCCTTTCTTGTCAGCTGCATTATTTGGACCTTCGAAAGTAAATTAAACACCGACACTCAACTTTTGCTCGTGATCTTTTTGTATGGATTCTGTGTTAATTAGCTTTATTGGACACAAAGAGTAAATAATTGCACCCGTATATAACAAAATTATTACTCCAAAAAAGAACTTCAATTTGAATATTCTACGCAAATTCTCTATCATTTTGTTAAATTTTTACATTATGTACAGGGGCACATACGGTGGGATTTTCTCACTGCAACAAGTTCTCTAACCGGATATACGGGTTCACACCAAGTAACCCGATTGACCCAACCCTGAACCCGCAATTTGCTGCCCAATTGCAAAGCATGTGCCCTAAAAATGTGGATCCTAGAATTGCTGTTAACATGGATGTACAATCACCTAGGGTGTTTGATAACGCTTACTACAAAAACTTGATAAATGGAAAGGGCCTTTTTACTTCGGATCAAGTCCTATATACAGATAAAAGAACTAGGGGCATTGTTACAAGTTGGGCCCAAAGTTCTCAAAGCTTTAAACAGGCTTTTGCCCAGTCCATGATCAGATTGGGTCGGGTCGGAGTCAAGAATTCCAAGAATGGTAATATTCGAATTCGATGTGATGCCTTCAACTAATACTCTAGTAGATGAATTCTCTTTTAGCTAGCAAGCTACTAGTATAAGTGTACACTCGTAGAAGTATTCTTTTTGTTATATCTTCTATTGGAAATAAAGGAAGTAATGAAAAAATTGAATTACTTCTTTTTCCTTTATTGTTTGTAAATTCTAAAAATTGTGAATTTGTAAGATTTTAAGTCATGATCTAATAATTAGTAATATGTACTCCCTCTGTGTTTTGATTTAATTACAAAGGTTACCGAGTAGCCCATAACAAAAGTCTCATTTCTCGACAATGTTCATATGAACATTCGATGTACCTATTTGTCACTATCAATAAACCAATCTCCATCTGGATTTTATATATCTTAAGCAAAAATGAGAGAAAATCAAACCAAACATCCTTCACATAAAGAATACTGCTTAGCACGATCGATTTTACAATCATACATGAGTACCAAAATATAAACAAATAATTAAGTATTAATACTGTAATTAGAACTGGCCAGTATTGCCATTTCAACCTTCAAAAGACAGTAGTAATATAATGAAAGGAAAAAAAATTGTTTCCAACAGATTGAATTAAATTACATTTCCCTATTATTTCTAGCCATATACAAAAATGCAGAAATTTTTAAAGTGTTCTGGATTTCCCAGATTGATTGTGGCATTGTGTACTACGCTATGGCTAGGACTCGTGTTTATGTTGATGATCATGCCTAACATTTCGGCATCAACAAGAATTCCCCGGGAATTAGCCCAAGTTAATTTTCAAGACCAAGCTTTCAAAGACTGCAACTTCACGGTAACTATTTTGCCTTAGTTCTTGATTTAGTAACGATTATTTTAGGGGTTGAAAACAGACCTGGTTAAATCCATGAAACAGGATTCATAAGTTCAAATATGATTGTGTTCTGTCTGTTTAATTTTGACTATCTCTTGTATGAATTCACGATTTTGTCTGCATGAATCATTTGGGCAGAATTGTAATTCTATTGGATCCGGAGACTTTGGAGTTGGCCCTAGTTTTCCATGATCATTTGCACATCTGAGAAAGTATGCATTGAAGAAGCAAACAAGCAGTTCAGCTGAATCTATCTCAATTTGTGTGCAGTAATGTATTTATATCTTTTCTTCTTTCCTCCATTATTGCATTATTCTTTCTATTCAATAGTCAATACAATATAACTTGTGTCTCAATTGAATTCTTTAGAATGACATACAGTTTAACTCAAATGTTATATCAAGTGAATTGTGGCGTTTATTTTTTCGTTGTGTGCTGTGTGTTTTGTGTTTGCTTTGTAGTTCATTCTTAAGGCTTACAAGAGAGTTTGGATAACTTACAAGCCGATATATTATCTTAATCAATTTATTACACCAGGAGGAGCTCCATAATCTCATATATACCTCTATGTACAAAATAGAAAATAGATTTATATGTGACAACAGCCAACACCTTAAGTATAAAGTGCGCGGCGCTTGACACATTCCTTTCCGATGATAAGTCAGGGTGTAAATAAAGTGAGATTACTAAATTGTAACTTTTGTAACTGAACACAAGGTACAGTCTGCTACAGAGTACAAAAGGTACTCAACTAATGTCACTGATATTCAGATTTCTGATGAAATTCTCAGCAAATTACAGTAATTAAATAGAGTACTTGTAAATGATTGTTGACTAAACCTAAAAGTCTTAAACATTCTAAATTCAATTCATTATGAATTACTCGGTCAACATTATGAATTACTCGTAAATGATTGTAAATTCAATTCATTATGAATTCAATTAAATAGAGTACTTGTAAATGATTGTAAATTCAATTAAATAGAGTACTTGTAAATTCAATTCAATTAAATAGAGTACTTGTAAATGATTGTAAATTCAATTCATTATGAATTACTTGGTCAACATTGAACAGGGCTTTATATTTCATATCATGTTCCCCGCAAAATTTCATATGAATGACATTTATTTCGAGTAGTCAAAAATTAAAAATTCATGTGTACCTGGAGAATTCCTTCGTTCATTGCAGTTTGGACGACACTGTTGCTTGGGCTAATGTTGATGCCTCACATTGTAGGATCTGCAAGATTTTCACGACAGTTGTTCAGTGATTTCAACAAGGATTTCAACTACAGATTGTGTAAACAAGGCAATTTTGTACAATATGTCCTAAACATACAAATCTTATTTGTTGAAATTACCTGTTAAGCAAATTAGCTTGAATGCTTGTACGTTACGTACTGTAATAGGAGCATTCTTAGCTTGATCAAGCGGGTTCTCATTGACACACTACCAGTGTTAGTTAGCTGCTCCTCTAATCTCTTCAATGGTTTAATGAATTGAAATATTCTGCTCAGCATGATCCTGCTGTGTCTCTGCAAAGTTCAGCTTAATTAAGAAAACAGGGTCGGCATAAATGAATAATACATGAAAAGGATTTAGGTTATGAGTACGTTGGCAGCAGTGTCTCTGCAAAGATCAGCGTTCTTACCTTTGCACTATCTAACAAGTTCCGCCTTTGGGTTTTTCTTTTTCAGAATCAAGTAACTGGTTTTTGAGAAGGAAAAATGACATCAATACAAGGGGTCTCTGAAACTGTTTTATCTTGGTCTTTTGTGTCTGAACTGACCCTTTTGTGCAGTGGAGAAGATGCACACTGTTATAAACGGAATTGCACAAATAAAATAGTAAAAACAATGTTACCGAGAATAAGACTGAGTCGCGGACTATGTCGCTCTCTTTAGAACATTCGCGGCACTGCCTCAAAGTTGTGCAAGCAGCTCGTACCAAACCGGATGCCCCCAGGATAAAACAGTCTTTCACAAGTTTAAAATACCGGCGGTTTTGCACCGAACCACCGGACAACGGAACACCAGAAAATCAGAAAGAAACTGCTCGACTGTTTTGAGAGGAAGAGAAAATATATTTTGCAAAGTGGTTTTGTGTATTTTTTCGTGTGTTTAAAAACAAAGCTGGAACCGTCCTTTTATAGGTAAAGATACGTAACAGCTTAAGCATGAAAACGGGAGAAAGATTAGCAACGTTTACTGCAATTAGTGTATCCGTTAAGCAAGAATCAAGGCGTTAAATCAGTGTAACGGTGCAACGTTTAGCAGTAAAACAGCAACGAGAATCAAGCAATGTAACGGAAAAAATGTAAACCAAAACAGTAAAACGTTTTGTAACTGAATATTAATCAAACCGGTAACAAAAATTAGCAACGTTTAGCAGCAACGAGAATTAATAACCCAAACCCGACCCGACCCAGCCCGGCTCGGTTCGGCGCGCGTGTGTGATATATGGTTTACCATATAGGTCCTCCCTCTCCACAAAATGTGGGTAGCCCAAGGGCCACACCCCTTTAGCCCACTCTCTATATTATAAAGAGAGTAAAACTCTCATTTCCCACCAATGTGGGACTTTGAGTTTTTTCACAAAATTCACACACTACACACTTGTTGTTCCAACACACACTTTTATCTTGGTGTTTATATTTCTGCTAGTAAGATGTATAAGATCCCCATCTTCATGACAAATTAAATTTCAACCTTTTTGTATTTCGATAAAACCGAATTAGATGTAATGTTTCTTTGTGTCCATTTCGGACTATATCTTCTATGAATTCACATATTTTGTCTGTGTAAATCAATTTGGGCAGGATATTGCAGTTGGATTGACCATATACAGATTTGAGAAGCATGCATTGACGCAAACAAGCAGTGCAGCAAAATTTTGTCTCCTTTACAAAAAAATAATTTTTTTTTTTTAAAACTTGTTTGCATCAATGAAATATATAATCCATACCTTTCTTGTTTCCTGTTCAATTGCAACGTCATTTGATTGGTATTGCAATTAAAATCTTTACGATGACAAGCTGTTTGAACTCAGAAGTTATACTTCGTATATTATTGTGTTCGTTCTCAGAAATATACTTTTCTGCACTTGACTTCTTAGAACAAAAAAAAATTGGAATAATCGACAAGGAAAAGAGTACCCAGCATTGAAAGTGGGAAGAATCAGACACTTATATTATTCAGAGAGCCCCAAATGGTATTAGTAACAAAAATCTTACAATGGTTTCCTATTTATATCTCGTCACCCCCATTTCCCCAACAATAATCCTGCTAGATACCATTTTGATGGTGTATATACAATGGAATCGACTTAATCCAAAAATTCCCGGCAATTTTACACTGGATCACTGCTGATAAATCTACTGAGGTTTAAATCAATGTTAGAGGTTATTCTATCAACAAAGCAGCACCTCGTTCCTATCAAAAACATATTTTACCCCACCATGTCTTCTCCAAACTGATCACTAATCCCACTTTCAAACTCTCGAAGGCAGACCTTCTCAAGCTGCGTTGGCCAATCTTCTCCAAGTACTTGTGGATTCAACTCCATAGCAGTTCGAAAGTCCAAAAGAGAAACAGAAGAAGACATGGATGGACTTTGTAAGTATTTTACAGGCCAAAGTCCATTTAGGCCATGAACACCCTCGGCACTCATTTTTTGTCGTTTGCTTCCATTCCTTGAACTAGCCAATTCTAGTGAGGGCTTTATCAACCTCTTCAAGTAAGTATCCAACCCATTGTTCAACAGATTCACACAATCCGGTGAAACACTCAACCCTTCCTTTTCCAATTTCTGCTCTAATGGCTTCCTTAAAGAGCTTGTGTTAGGTAGCTCACCATCTCCATGACACGATTCAACAGGAATTCTAGAAGATGATAAACTAGATGATGATAAACTGCTGATAACTTTCCGGTTTCCTTTTCCATTCCAAGGAATTCCTAGAGGTGGCGTGACAGGACTCCTGCTGTGAATTCCCGGGCTAATTACTGCCTGATCAACTTCTTCCCCATCTTCCACGGAGTTGACCTCAATAGGTCTGCTACCTAAAGACAGCAACTCTGTAGCACTTTGCTGCTCTAGAGTCTTATGGCCCAAATCCTTACATGCCTCAACAGCATTGGGCTTCCCATGAGGGCCAAGTGGGCTAGGACGGTCCTTGCTTTTGCGATCACGGAAACAAGGAGTCCTTCCCTTGCGTGGAGACAATGGCAACACATCCCTACAGAGAGATTGAAGGCAACTTCTTTGATACCCATTAGCAACCTTATCAACAACAGGACTCTCCAATTTGCTTCTTTTCGAGGGAGGTGTCTTTGATTGACAAGCATTCTGAAGAATGGATTTAATCAGGCGATTGTGCAGGCTGATGTTTTCCCGCCCAATTGCAGCAATGCAGCTTTTATCAAACTCAGACTTTCCGATTTTGAGGCCGAAAAAGCTGTCCAACAGACCAAAGTACTTCTCAGCCCTCTGACTTCCTACTTTCCTACTAATCTGAATTTTGATCTCTAATATGTCAATCCTATCAAAATGCCGATCACCCGGCATTTTGATTTCCATATTTCTTACAACCATCAAAATTTAAACCCTAATACCACAGAAATTATTAATAGCACTTCAAACAGAAACAGCGTCTAAAATTAAAATTCCAAACCCTAATCTTCTAATTAGATCAGCCATCGAGCAAGAACAACAGTGTTGTCGAATAAACCCAGAATACTGAATCCACTAACAAAAACAAACAAAACACATATCAAAATTAAGCTCGAATTTCAATCTTTTCATCAAACAACCAACTATCAACATTAAAACCCTCAAATTAGTGTTCATATTCAAGCAGCGAAAGAATTCGCCAGCAAAATTAGAAATTCATCTCAAATTCAACTTAAATCACAAGAATTAAGCTACAAATCATCAATAACCAAGCAATTCAAGAACCAAATCGAAATCCCAACACCCAATAAAGCAAATTCAAAGTTCGATCAAAAAGATCAAAATCAAAAACCCTAGAATACCAAAATTGGGATCGAAAAAATCAAATTCATAAACAAAACAAAAAAGAGAAATTATAAGCGGACTAACCTGAATAAGTAAAGAATAATGCAGAAGTTGATGAAATTGAAAGCTGAAAATTAGATGAGCTGCTTAATCAGAGTTATCGCGATAGCGGGAAGAGAGAGAAAAAGGGAAATAATTTTAGGGCAATTTTACGGGTTGTAAAGAGAGAGACTCTAAGAAGGTTCTGAAAGTCATTAGGAGTCAAAGTTTAAAACGCACGTGGGCTTATTTTTAAGGTAAGGGTTGAATTGTCAATGTATATGATATGATGATATGTTGCATCTTTGGTTAACTTTGATTGGAACATTATCCAATCATTTGTTGTCATTCTTTCTTAACTCAGATATGTTGGAACTTGGAAGTCAAACTCGATCAAGGTTTTTTTTCTTATTATCATTTTTAAATGTTTCTAGAAAGAAAAAATCACACACACATACATAAATACATAATGGTCTTTGGTGGCTAATTAGTTAATGCAAGTAGTTAGTTACACATGAGTCACTAATAGGATAAGTGTATTATTTGAGTTTATTTTTAGAAATTGTGGACAATGCTTCATTTTGACAACACATTTTATTTGTACAAATATTGTTGTAAATTATGGGTCCAAATTGTTGAGATCGGATAGTGGTGACGATCTGATCCTCATTAAAGGGTATTCAGATGTGATTAGGGGCCTGTTAACTTCAACTTAGGGCATGTTCTCATTGACCGAAATCAGCTGAACTGAACTGAACTAAATTGAGCTGAACTGAACAGAGCTGAGCTGAACTGAACTGAAATGAATATTTTATAAGAGAAGGAAATTAGGAGCTGAAATGAACTAAATTCAACTGAACTGAACTTAACTGAATTTCAACGTAAGAGAACAGACCCTTAATTTCAGTTCAGTTCATTTCAGCTTCAATCACTTCATTTCAGCTCTTAATTTTTCTTCTTTCATAAAATATTCATTTTAACTCTATTCAGTTCAATTCAGCTCCAATTAGCTAGTTCAGTCCAGTCTTGTTCAGCTTAGTTCAGTAAATGTGAACAAGCCCTAAGAGTGAGAGTGTTTGCGACCAAATCTCGTTACAATATCAAAAAGAAAATGTGATTACATTGCTAAATTCCTATAGTAAGTTAATGCTTGATATTATATTTTTATGTAAGTGTATAATGTGTTTCTACGTACAAGCATTATTTTATTTTTAATATTAAAGTTGATAAGTGCTAGTTATATGAAAGTTTGGAGACATTACATTTATGTATAAATCAAGATTTTTTTTTTTTTTTTTTTTTTTGAATAGATGTATAAATCAAGATTTAGAAGAGTGACATACACAAACTTAATCTACAACTAAAATAAATAAAGATTAGAAAGGCTCAAATAAGTGCATTTCATGTGAATTGAACTTATTGTGGTTTGCTATTCAAAAAAAAAAAAAAAAAAAAAAAACCTTATTGTGGTTTAACTATGTCTTGGACTTCCAATTACTACTTATCATCGTCTAAATGGAAAGCAAGAAATTTCAAAGTTTTTAAACATTTTGAACCGTTAAGTTGTACTAGCCGTTTTCACTGCCACTTTTGTAATGATAAAGTTCAATTAACTAGTCATTGGCCTGTATTATAAGCCACATCTTTAAAATCCAAATGAAAAAAGCATCATATCCTTGTATACGTAAAGCCAAAAAATAAACCCTAACCAGTTTCCTAAGATGGTCACTCTCACATTCAGCGTGACGAAGGCAAGTAACTGGAATAAGTGATCACATTGAGTTTGCATGTGAAATAGCATATTATTCTTGAACTCATTTGTCAATTTGCTTACTTTGTTATCCAAAATCAATAAATCTTGCGGATACTAGCCACTTATATTACTGTAGCCCCTTGCTACGTTAGCGCCTACATTCCGTTGCTGAATATTTGTCCACTATTATCAGCTAGACAGCAACTTGATTAATGGTCCAGCTTTAATTCTATCTTATTTACTTTACCAATTGCTCTAATAAAATTATATACTTGTTGATGGAACTATATAAAACAATATAATGGCACATGAGCCTGAACTGTGATAAGACTGTCAATCCTAAATAACACATAACTAGTAAAATTGGCCTTAAATCATACGCATACTCCATAAGAGACACAGTTTGACACGACCAACAACCATATCAAGTATTACACACTTACGCAGTAGTGCTCTCAAAGTATGATCACTTTCTCATCAATGTATCTAACTTTATGGTTAGTGACGTAAAGAGCTAGACCAAACTGGGAAAGAATCTGGCAACTTAGTAAACAATGAGTTTGAATAAATGTAACCTAGACTAGAATCTACGACACTTGCAACAAGAATGCCAACTACCTTTGTAAGTTGGGTACTGAACACATCACTATATTACTCTATTTTACAACTGTACTAATTAATGATTTTTATCTATTTCTGCTTGTCACATTGGATAGATTCCAATACCTTTGCTTCTTTTTTTATACTGGTCCTTCACTACTTTGACACATTTCAGTTGTTTGATCCAAATACTATATCTAATTAAACGAATGGAATTAAAATATTACTTCTATTTTTATTTGTTTGTTGTACCCTATTATTTAATTTCGCAGGATTGTATTAATTCATCCAGTATTATTTAATTTCACAGGAGTGCATATATATATCCCATATGATTGATGAACAACAATATTAGATTAGGCCTCAACATTTATATTTCTTTTATTATTATTATTATTATTATTTGACAAGAAACATATGCGAAATAACAAGCAAGCTAGTTTAATTTGAAAATAATTGGCAAATTTAAGAAAGAAAAATTGAAACATATGCGAAATTGACAAGACCTTAAACAAATGACAAAAATCATGCTTTCAAAGTTTCAAAAATTGAAACAGTTTAGAATAATAAGGACGCGGAGAATAGTTAGGCGTCAATTTAGTGAATTATTAGTAGTGGCAATAAGGCCAATAACATCAATTTTGCCTAAATAAGGATGAAGCTAAGCTAACTAATAATCAAACACAACATCAAACACTGACTAAGAATGTTAATGACTACTCATATATTATTAGTACTGAACTAATTTAAGAAGGTACCAAAGCAGTAGCAAAAACAACATTATGACCTTTCCAAGTGAGCACAATATCCTCCTCTTCTTTCTTAGACCCCCACCCTGTAGCATGTTCCTCTAGCATTGCCTTCACCTCCATCGTTGCCTCTCCCGTCAACCCGACCGCCCTAAACTCCGCCTCCATCATCCGTTGTGACCACCGTGTCCTCGGCTCTTGCCTCTCCACTCTCTGGTCCCCTTCATGAGATATCACATTCTCAATTTTCCAACAAATATCGGCCTCGTACCACTCTCTTTGCTTACTCCCCCTAGGCAAGAACGTGTCCACCGTATCGAACGGTATCCAAAAATAATTAAACGCGGATCTTAGCCTTCCAACCAGATTCCTAGACGTAAAATCTACGTCTTCCTCTACAACCACCACCATTGTCGGGGACAAACTCCGTAATGCCTTAAAAAACATTGACCTCATTGACATCACCACGCTAGGGTCCTCTTCTGGCTCTGCGTGGTTTAAGTAATGTAACGACATTTGACAATTTATGATCAAAGCTTCTTCTTCCAACTCTTCTTGATGATGAGGGTTTCCATAGAGAAATCTCATTTGTTCTTGCCTCGTCCTAACCTCATCTAGGACAGAGGCAAATCCGTCCGAGGGGGTGGTGGGGACGGCCTTAAACTCGAGCACCACCCCCTTAGAGCGGGCAAAGTTAATAAGCTTAACACCAAGATCATCATAACAAATAAAATCAAACATCGGCGGACCTTGTTGGGTAAACGCCCCCACGGTCAGTGTAACCGTGGGGGGTTGCCTACCTTGGTAACGAGTAGCAATGGAGTCAATAAGAGTAGGAATTTGCATGCAATGAGTCACACTGAGGTCCACGATGTGGACCCCAGTGCGACCCTCAATGGCTTCTAGGATGACTGAGTTCGCCGCAGTGAACCCAAAGCGGTGCCACGGTGTTAAGTGGACAAAATTAGCCAAGTCCAGAAGAGAGAACTTGTGTATATTCAGGTTTATACCACAAGCTATACTACTACTAGTAGTAATAGTCGTACTAGTATTAATATTGCTGTTGTTGTTGTTGTCGTTGTTGTTGTTACTAGTAGCGGAGTTGAGTATAAACTTACAAGCGGGGGTACGAGCAGCGCGAAGGATAAGAGCGCGGAGGAAAGCGCAAGTGAGTCGTTGATTAGAGTCGCCGTCAGGCGGGGCGATGTTGTTAAGAACCCAAAGGATTTGTTGAGCAGGAGTAGCGTCGTTGTTATCAATAGCTTGAGCACAATGTACTAAAAGTTGTTCCATATAATTAGCATCACCTAAATTATGATTATTAATACAATTATTCTTGTTGAAAGATGATGAAGAAGAAGAAGAAGAGGAAGTGTTTTGTTTCGAAGTCGTAAAACCAGGCCAAGGCCTAATTCTATTCATCATGGTTGTAGATTGATGGAAAGAAATTGTGTTTGGTGTTGGGAAATTTGAAATTTCAGTAAATTGCATCATTATTATTGATGTTAGATTGAATTTTTTTTGGGTTTTGAATATAAGTTCACACGAAAAAAAGAGAGAGAAAAAAATGATCAGAGAAAGAAAGAGACTCGACAAAGAGAGGATAGTACTAGTAATGGGTGGCTTAGCAAAACATAGGGAGACGATCCAAAAGAAATATTTTTGGGGCAAAACGAATCGAAGAAATTGACACTTCAGCTTTTTAATTTATTTTCTTTAATTTAAGACAAAAATAAAATGAGAAAGAACAAAAAAAAAAGTTCTGTGATTGAAAGTAATATATCTATGAAAACTGATGATAAATGGGAAGAAAAGGTTGTCTGATGTTTTTGTAATGAATTTTGAAATTTTGTGGTCTAAAATAGGCAAAGAAGATCTTTCTTTTTTTTAACCAAGCAAAATGGAAGAGTAGGAATTTATTGGTTTATTTTGCTTTTAGTATTATTATGGGAGAAGATGATGAAACTTATATTATGGGACTTCTTCAAAGGTTACAATTGTGCTTGTTATATATAGAGAGAAATGAATCAATAATAAGAAAGAGTATGTTAATTGTTATTATTAGGATAAGCTCGTGAGTTTAAGGGATTGACTTGGATTATAAATTTATTATATTTTGTGTAAATTGGTGTACTAATGTACGTGACTACTTATAAACACAGTCATGGTTAGTCGTTCAAATCACGTAAAAGTCAGTCCGATTTAAAAATATGGATTAAATTTATGAGTAAATGATACAATATGTTCATTGATAAATATAAGCTCTAAACTAAAATTATACTTATCTTTATTTTTAGGTGAAGAGAACAATTCAATGATTTAGATGTCTTATTCATGTTTAATGAAATTTGTACCAATTCTCATGCATGCATAACTAAATTAAATTAAGCAAATCCTAACAAACTAAGGAGTATATTGTATCAAATTCAACTCAAACACTAGCCTTTATTTTATATATATATATTCCCCAAAGCTTAGTTGAGTACAAGAATTTAGGTTTGTTGTCACCTTATGGCTTGTCAACATCTTGATCCACATTTATTTGCAATATTCCTAAAAGATATTCAATTATTTATTTTTCAGCCAATATCCTTCCATCTCTAGTATCACAATTATGAAAAATATTTCATTTAAAAAAAAAAGAAAAAGAAATGCATGCTTTTACAAATATGTTTCAATAACTTCCTATCATATTTTTATTTTTTTTCAAAAATTTAAAAGTTTGAAAAGGGATTATAAACAAAAAATGAAACAGGAATTCACCAATCAATGTGAATTATGTTTTTGTCTGTATAAACAAATACAAGAAAATGAAATCATAGGAGATAAAATGATCAGATAAGCTGGAGCATAACCATGTTATACTAAAATCCTCAACACGTGATACTCAATTTCACATCATAACATCTGTTTTAAATTGCTTAGGCCAACAAACTCAAACTTGCCGACTTGCTTATGTACCCTAACCTACAAACCCCACCTTAAATAGACAACTCGACTAACCCCACCTCAGCCAGCACTCCTGTATAAGAAATACCTCCTTTTATTTTACATTCACTAGATAGTTGACCTAGAATCCTAGATAGATAGTACAAACCAAATCGATACTCTATAATAAATTTGGTTATGTTTAGTTCATCTTATTTTTTCTTATATGATCAGATTTGAACTTACTTTTTGTTTATCATAATTGAACTGATCAAATTGTCTGATTTGACTAAACGTTAACTTTATATGAACGCTGATATATATGTATATACTAGACTTGTATTAATTTATATATTTCACATACTACCTCCGTTACATATTATTTGCAACAATTTGACATAAAGTAGAGAAGAAAAATGTCTAATCGTTGCAAATAATATGTAACGGAGGTAGTATGTACTTTTCCTAAGTATTTTATTATAAAGTTAAAGCATGAAATCACAAATATATAACAATAATGTTTGTTCAGAACTTATTTTTTCTAATATAAGGTACTGGATGATGATATATATATGGTTAACTAACCAGATTTCTTATTGAATGATATGTAATGAGGTGGCTCACCGACTCTCGAAATGTGGCTCTTGGATGTAATTTCCTCTGATTTTCCTCCTATGAATTAATAAAGCCTTCATCATTTTCCTTCCAATAAAAAGGGTACAAAATTAGATATTTGAATAGTCAAATAAATATCTAACAATACAGCTAATTAACAAATTGAGTATAAGAAATAATCTATTTATTGTTACTTCGTTTTCTCTGATTAAACCTTGCTTTAAATTAAGCAAGTTGATATAAGGGTTCACACTTCACAATCTTTATTAATTAAATTTCTTTTGATTGAAATTCGTTGCACTAACCCTTATATCAAGTAAGTCAATCAAAAGGTATTGATTAGTATCACAAAATAAATTTAGCTATATACGGACACATATACAAATTTATTTAATTAATACACAACAAACCTAAAATTTAAATAAAATCTAGCATATACTTCTTACTCCGTATATGAATTTCATACTATAGATTGACGACTAAGAGAAATAAAAGAATCCGATGTTGATCCATATAATGAGAATCGAGTAATGTTAAAATCACAAAAAAAATCTATAAAAAGTAGTATCATTGAAAAGGGTTCCAAATCCTAGACATACAAGAACTAAAAGACACACTATGTAAAACCTAAACACTATGTGCATACTTTGTAACTTTTACAGGAATAATCTTTGTTGCAGTAAAAGAACTAATAGTTCATTTAATCTTTTGCATGCTTTGAATTTTTGAATTCAAGCATGTGCACAAGATACCCATCTTAATAAGAGACGACCATATATATTCACTGGACCAACATTTTATTTAAGCATTGAACGACTTATATCATATCGAAAACAAAAGAAAACAGACAAGAACTTCATAGAACTTTGGTGTGCTAGCTAAAAGATTACCTATTTCGTCAAATTCTAGACTAAGCTAGTTGTTATATTTGGCTCTTGGCTATACTTGGCAACTACAAAAGGACTAGAGTAATCATTGCCATTGGTTGTTTAGCAATTAATTAGGATTAATTACTAGTAGCTTAGTACGTAGTGTTATTACTTTACTCAATAACTCTATCTATATACAAAAATTGACTACTAAAAAAAATAAAAAAAAAAATGTTATTGTATGACACTTGTAAGGCCTAGCCTGGTTGGTTGACTGGTAGAGTAGTTAATTACGGAGTACAACTCAACGAAGTGGAGTTAATAAGAATGAATTTATATATAGTTTTACAACGATAATGTTCATGATAATGCAATTATCAAATCCTTTCAATTATGTTTTCATTATAAACCTTATTGGTTATAATGAAAGTTTTGGTAAAATTATGAGTGTTTTTCTCATATTAATTTGTTACTCTAAGTACGTTTTAAACTAGGTCATCTACATGAAGAGGTTGAAAACCTACAATGTGGATTATGTACATGAGTGATGAGTCTTACCATTTTAAGATGATTTTATACCCTATGTACAACATTATTTAATGTACACACATCTTATCTAAAGTTTGTCAATATATAATATCCTCCGAAGTTCTAAGTTCTATCTATACTTTCTTCTAAATCTGATTTCTCAAAATAATTTTTGCAAAGCATCTAGCATAATTAGCGAGGGAATTTCATTTATGAATTGTGACAACGAAGTGAGGTCAAATTGTTGTGACACACTCTTTTTTTATGAATTAATTTAAATTCATTTTTAATAACAAGAGATATCGATAAAATTGTGAATATAGATAATAATATGCTTCGTATAGCAATCTATACAAGCAATTCATATACTTGTAGTATTATTTTGATGTAAATCTAACTATAAAGATTTTATTATGTACTTTGTATTATTTTAAAAAGAAAGAAATTACTTGTTTTAAGTTTGATATTTGATATTGAGAAGCTTGCATTAGGATGTCTTTTCTTCACCTAGTCTCTTAAATTGAAACTTATTACATTTGATTGTAACTTCTGAAACTAGATCTTCGTGGCCCAATAATCAAAGACATATTTGTCTCAATTTATGGAGTATTATCCTACTACATTTGTCTCAATTTACTTGTCGCGTATTCCTCCAGAATATACTTCGTATAATACCTTAGTAATATACTTCGTATAATACCTTTCAAAGTGTTATACGAAGTATAATTGTTTTTTTTTTCCCCTTTGAAATCGGTCGGACGGCAGCCCTTTTGACCGGCCCAGAAATCGGGTCTCGTAAATCATTCACCAAATGTTTCCTCTTTTAGTTAACAGGCCCACATCATATGGTCCAGAATTTAAGACACGACATGGCTTATGGGCTAATTTCATGTTAGTTACAAACCAAGCCCAATTTTTATTTTTATTTTTATCTTTTTAGAAAAAAAAATATATATTGACGTAGAATTCAGTTCGGACGGTTCGGTTACTATACTGATAAGCCCACAATGCAGGGGATTTCTAACTAGCTGTCCATTGGCCCAATTTTGCAACAGTAAACTTTTTTTCTTTTTCCTTTTTTTTTACACTTAAATTTGATGGCCTATTTGAATTTTATTTTTTTTTCATCTTTATGAGATGTAAGTCACCTTAAAAATTTAGTACCATGTAATTTCTTTCCCTCGGTGAAAAATTCTTTTCTTTTTTTATATACTATGTACTAGTATATAAATTTCCTCCCTTTCTAAATATAAGTAGTTTCTATTTGACTTATTAAACTTGTTTATCTTAGTTGTTGTCATTTTTTTAATATCCGTACTCCATCTATCATATAATCCTCCAACATTAAAGTAACACTCCGTACTTGTTATGGGGTAGTTTCTACTAGTACTAATAATACAATAATCATTAAAGATAGAGTAGTATTGACAATGAAATTAATTTGTTATTAAGGGAGGATGTAGAAGCCAAATTGAATTTGAGTACAAAGAGTATGGGCACATTTTATGGGTGCAATCATAAGCAAGTAGTTATAAATTACAAAGTATATTAATAAATTTAGATATATGCATAATAATTATCCTCTGCTTTTTTTTTTTTAGGAAATAATAATTATGCAATATCTATCTTCATTATATTTATAGTTTTCAATGATGAAAATGCATGGGTTATGGGTTTATACATCGCTCAAATCAAAGCATATTCTCTTATCAAGTACGTTTTAATCCTATCTTTGTTACGTTGGTCTTGTCTTGCGGCGTTACACGTGAAAGTAGCCTCCTATCACGTTTCCTTGCTTTATGCCATTCTTTCCTCTGTCTCAGGAGCTCAACTAGTACGCATCTTATTCTTCTTCTTGCTTTGTACCTCTTTGATTCACTCATAGGTTCGTTTAAGTTCAAGACAAGTGCATACATTAGTTTGGGGCTACTATTAATTTGTTACTTTATTAATTAACACGACTCACATTGCATCTCTCATTACGCAACGTCCTTTATTTGTATTTGGTTTTAGAGTATGTTCAAAGGTCAAATAATAACTCATTTAAAATCTCAGAAGCGGAAAACAAGATGAATAAATTAAAACTAGTGTTGATCACACGTTTAGCATCAAATTAAGGAAGTCTATACTTAAGCGAGGAATCTAATCTCTTACCTTAATCTATCTTTTGTAAAATATAAATGAACTTAAAAAGTAAATTCTATTTTCCTTGTAGCTTGATGCTCTTACTAATAAACAAAGTCATTAATTAAAGAAAATTTATAAGCATAAGCAAAGGCAAGCATATTTGTAGGTCCTAACTATAGCATAACTGCATTAAATTGGTAAAACAAAGAATCTTGGAAGGTTCTAGTATGTGTTTTAACCCCAAAATTTTATGAATAAGTGTCCCAAATAAATCATAAATAATAAAAGAGGGACAAAATATAATTGTGAAGTGTTGTTATAAACGACCATAAATTGCATGAAAGGTCAGATGTTTCTCCAGAAATACTAAAGGGTATTTATTTATTTGTATGTATAAGTGGTGAAAGTTAACATAGTGTTATTGTAGCAACTTAATCCAAAGATACTGATTCTTTTGGACAGTGACCATGAAATTATAATTGGGAAATTTAAATTAGAAAATGACATTTAAAATTTGATCTCTTACTCCACTTCATTTTGACCAATTAGTCTAGTATGTTCTTATTCTATATATCGTTCATTCTTAGTGTTGCTTGATTTGAGAATGATCATTATGTTACTTGTTTGTTGTTTGTGAGTCAGCCATTTTCATTTTCAAAATCTAGCTAAAGCTACAACACTTTTTTTGGTTGACAATTTGAATTCGATTACACATTTGAGGGGTTAAGCTTTAACAATATAAATAAATCATTGGTAAGAAAGAAGAGTAAGGATATTACAGTTGAGGTTTTTTTAATTAAATTGTGTGACCATCAATGTACAATATATTTATTAAGATGCTTGCCAAGGGGATATGATACAATAGTTAACTGAGGATCGTAGGATGAATACGAGATAAATTTCCTTGTTGATTTCATTTCTCCTTAAGATTAATTTTTGTTGATCCAACTTCTTCAATATTAGTAACATTAATTGATGCTTCGTAAATCTTTCCCTTTTTATTACAATGCATGTATGAGGAGTTGAGGACGTACTACTGATGTACTATGTAGTCATCAATCTTGAGCAAGACCTATACAGATGTTAGGAATGGAGGTGACCTAAGACAAGGCACACCGAAAAAATTCTTAAAATCAATTTGTAAAAGAAGTAGCTCACTTGGTATATAATCAACGACCTTTACTTCATCTTTTAGCATTAACAAACATACTCACACTTGTACCTAACATTATAAATAACACTGATATCGGGTATAAAAGTAAGATATAAACATTTACTTAAAACATTTAAGAAACTATTACAACATTCTGTTTTCTATAAACCCGTATGAATTAAAATTTAAAATTTATTTTTTTATTATTTGTTAAGTGGCCAAGTAAATTAAAAAGTAAAATCATTTTCACTTTCACTAATAATCATTCTAGGCTTTAATGTATGGTTCGTTCTTTTCCCTCGTTAAATCACCTCTCACATCCCATCAAATTAAAGACCACTAAACTTGATACTTTAGGGAGGTGACTAATTGACAATTTTTAGTAATTAACGTTAAATCATTCATTAGTCATCCACGTATTAAGGGACCGGACAAATAATTTGATAGCTCTATACAAATAGTACGTATGTTACGATACACTCTACTCGTAGTCAATTATTTGAGGTACATCATGTTCAGCATTTGCCAATTCAATAACAACTTTTAATAAATTTGTTCTTTTAGTGATGTCTCAATTGAAATTTAAGGTATCCAAACCTTAAAGGAAGAATTGATTTTTTTTTTTTTTTTTAAGTGTATAAGTGCTTTAGATGTCTTCATTCACGACTTTGTTTTTTTATAGTTTTTGCTCGAAAAAAATAATACTTCATACTCCTTACATTAGATGAATACGGATTATCATTGAGTACATAGTTCAATTTATTAAATACAAAAAATTTCATTTCATTCATAAAAAATGAATTGTATTTCATGCCTTAAATTTTATAATATGTATTACATACATAGTACGCGAAATTTGAGTGGAAATTTTGTCAAAAGATTAAACTCCTGATAAATCCTTCAGACGTGGAAAACAGTAGGCGAGCAAGTTAGGCACGCATAGTTTTGTCCGCTTTACACTAAACAATAGGAGTATCTTGAAATTTTATTTGATACTACAATTGAGTAACCAATTTGATGACAAAAGCTGATGTGTACCAAACTAGTACCAATTTGATGTGTATTTTGACGGTTTATATTTGATGGAAGGATTTGAGTGATTTTAATGGTGGAAATTTGAAAGATAGTCTTAGAAGGCAACGACTTCTAAGTTTGATTTTAGGAGTAACGATCCCAAAACCCTAGTTAACAACTAGTTTGAACCTTAACAAAGTTCTCTTCAAGCAAAAGCTCAATAATCTCAAATTATAATTCATAAAACATCCTGTTAAAATAATTGACATACAACTAGTATATATAGGAAAAATAAATCTATCCTACTTGCCCTGCAAGAAAACTAAATAAAAAGCCCTAATAATTAATTAATGAACCAAGAGAGCCCACTAATTAATTAACACAACTTTGGAAGCCCAAGGCCCCATAACTACTACTAAGAAAATAATAAAAACATTATTAAAAACTCACTTGTAAAACCCCTACTTTAAGAGTAAGGTAAAACCAAGAGAGTACCTAAATAAAGCAATAAAAATAGTTATAAGGAAGGGGACTCGATTCACATCAAAAGCTACGATAGCTAACTGCTAATGGCTAGATACAATTCATTTTTTAAGGTTTTTTTCATAATTAAACATTATTGATGAATTTTGAAGTAGACAAAGATATCACCCAAATAACATATTAAAAATAATACTACGTAAGATGTGTTTTGGCATATTTTCACTCCTCCAAAACTTTAATTTTAGATTACTAATGTTACAAATATATAAGATGATCGTTAATTCGTACTATGTTACATCCATTTTTATAAACTACGAGTAAAATTTTAATTAGTTACTTGGCCTTCTATTAACCCTTTTTGTTTTACCTCATTTAAAAAAAAAATCACGTCAATTCAGACATGTATGTGAACAAATTTTCAAATAGATGTATTGAAAACAAACTGAAAAGGCAAAATGAAACGATTAAAAGAAATGAAGGAAGTAATTTAGCAATGAAAGCATGGAGTATATTTTCTTATTTACATGTTAGTTATGGTATTAAACAAATGGAAGAAAGACAGAGCTTTAAAACACATCAAAGGGCACCAAAAATTCTAGGTCTTAATATAGTACATAGTCCTGAATACCCATTCAGCAACAAGAAAAAGTAAGCAATCCTTTGATTAACAAGATTATAAAATATATGAGATCAAATGAAATTTGGATAAGTCTCCACTTTTCTTATCTCAAAAGCAATGAAGGATATCGTACTAATGTACTAATCAGTTGAAAGTCTTGAACAATTGTTGGGAGTACGCCGTAATTGCTTAGCTTAGTGTTTAATTTCTTTGGACGACCATCAATTTGCTTGTCATTATCTTCTTTCTTCTCTTTTTGATTTATCTTTATATTATATATTCATTGTATGGTCACACCTAAGAAAATTTGGCCATGTTTTTTTATTTATTATAGTGTACAAAAAGATACAGCTATCCAAGAAGTTTGGTTTGATTTTTCAAAACATTAAATTTCATGTTATAAGATGATGAATACGAAGTACTTCATTCAAGTGTATGCATTGAGAATTATATTGTAAAAATAAAATAGGAATATTAAATGAAGGTTTTTCTAATGAACAAACTCTTTAGTATAAGTATATCATTAAAAAAAATTATTACACCAATCTGCGCATGATTTTATCATAATATATGTAGGGTAATGTCCTTAGGGATATGTATAAGAAACTAAAAAGGGAAATATATATTGATGATAAATTAACATTAATTACACCGATCTGTGCGTGATTTTATCATGAATTTCCAACTTAATTTCATTTAGGAAGTATATTTAATGATTATATATATAACCCTAAAAACTACATGTATCATTACCCTATAATTTACCTTTCCGGCTTTCTCATTCATTACTAAGTCGATATAGATGTATATTTTTTATGTTACATAATAGTATAAGTTTGTTTACTAATAATTAATTAGTATTTTAGTTGATGATCATAAATGTTGAAGAAAGCAAAACAAAGAATAGAGGAAGGAACATCGGAGGAATCTAAAGAGAAGCACATGGTGGGGCCCGGCGGTGGGGAGGAGTAACATTGAGTTGCGTCATCCACCACCACAGTTGACAGAATGACAGTATAACCTCTCTTTGCTTTTCCTCAAAAGGTCTTTTATTTATTGCTTCATCCCTAAATCATAATCTTAATCAAAACTTTCTACTTGCGTGTCAATTTCTAATTGCCATTTTTCAAGTTGCATTATACGAAGTACTCCTAAAAACTTGGTCGTGGTACTACACATTTACCACCACTCTCTAACTCTCTAGTACGGAGTACTACACTCCACTTACGTGTTATGAACTTATGATTTACGAGCACTCTCTTTAGGTCCTTCGTTTCATTATAATTGTCTTTGTAAAAAAACGTAATTTTATAATTAGATAAAGTTAATGCGAGAAAATTTGATGGAAATAAAATAGTTTATGTGAGAATATTATGGTTCTCTTATGTTTTTGTAGCATGGGGCAAACTTCGTGAAAAAAGAGAAAATAAAAGGAGATATGATACATACAATAATTCTGTTTAGTCTTTACCTCCACAATGTCTAGTAGGCAGTACTAGTTTACCATACATACATTCATTTCTCCTCCATTCATTTAGTGTCTTGGGACACCTTTTGTCTAGTTTTAATATTCCACTTTAAATCATATTGTCACATTCTAACTGACTTACCTATCTTCTATAATTCTACTACTTCATAACTCATATGTTGATACCTTTACTTTAACAAGGGGTAGGGATTTGAATCCATGATATAATTATACACAGGTTCTTAATTATAACCATCAGATCAAGACCTCATCAATATATATTATTATAGAAAACAAAGTATATTGTTACAAACTTACAAAAATATTATAAATAATTGGTCTAATTAAGTAGTCCGTATTTTACTATTTTGTAATTGGCTGTGACATGAAAGAAAGGTTATTGTTGAGCCCATGAACAACCCACATGTGAGCATTCTCTTGTCCTACACTAAACACTAAAAGGGGAGTGTAGTGGTAATGAAATCCCACATTGAAAGAATTCAAGAGTTACCACCACTATATAAGGCTAAGGGGCTATTCCTCTCATTGTCATATGGTTTTGAGGTGGAACCTCCTTGGTCTTGTAAAAGTGGTGGACTTGCACTCTCCCGTGACGGGTGCGGCCCAGACCCGTATTTAACCGTTATCATTATTTACACATTTTTATTTGGTGCCCAAAAAAAAAAAAAAAAAAAAAAAAAAAAAAAAAGGTTAATGGAAGGACAAGATCTGAGCCCAGGAGTTGGGAAATTTTGTCGTAGGTGTCTAAATTCAATGATAGAGAACGGTGGTGAAATCCGCGTCACATTCTCATTATATAATTCTGATTTTCTACAATTATTAATCATTTAAGAAAAATTAAAAAAATAAAAGAAAGCAAAAAATGGGCCATTGTTCATGAAACCTCCAATAATATAGTAGAGCCACTAGTACTACTTATATAAGTTGTTTTGTTAATAAGAATATAACTTGGTCATCCTTTTGGGCCCCTCATTAAATAAGTTGTTGTTCTTATGCAATTGGCTCATTCATAGTCCTCTCACTAATTAGAAGATTCTTATTTTTAATTTCTTTATCAATTTTAATTTTTATTATTATTGGCTTTTATTTTAATAAAGTTTTTTTGGCAACCTTTGCACTAAACATTGAGCCTTCTGCCTCCTTAACCAGTTAACCTAAGCCTCCTGTCTCCTTAACCTTAATAATTAAGCCCATTGGTTTCCTTCATCTTAAGTTAAGAATAATTGAACAAGGGGCTGGATTCAGACATAGATTTTATAATATTAATTAGTACCAAGTATTACGTAATCTGTAATTAATTTGGTTGTTTAAACATACCGGCCACATGATTAGTTGATTTTATTTGATTAACCAAAGCAAAACTGTATTCATTATTAATTTAATAATACACATTAATAATCCATTAATTGGTACAAAGTACGTACTTCGTACTTAAATAGTTTCAATTGAACGTACACAAGTTGATTTTTTAACAAGTGCAAAAACTACAAATGCAATAACGACGTCCATTATGATTTATGAATTTATAAACCAGATTCGTTTGTTATAAAAATAATTGTTTAAAAGATATAAACTTGAATGGTCATTGGTTGGTTATGATTATTATGAGTCCTGTATCAATATTATTACAAATATATGTGATAATCATGAATTGAATCATGAGACATTTGTCAAATACTACATATATTGGGTTGATTATATTATTGGGTCAAAATGTAGTTTCTTTTTATCTTTAGGTAGCTCTTTTTTATGTCCCTTTAATTATAACTTATATTTTTAAGACTTATCTTATTGAATTTATGAACATATATTAATATTCGTCGAAACCTATTTTTATATAAAAAAAATGAGTAGAAACAAGATGAAGTAAACATAACTTTAATTCACCAATATTTGTATGATAAAATTGATTATTAAATAATTGCAATTTATCCATGGTCTTATTACATACAAGTACGTACTTCATATATATATTCATGTTATATCGTTCAAAATAAGTCGAATAAAACGTATCCTATGGTGCTGATTTAATTTGTTGAAATCGATGTAATTTAAGTAGAAGAGAGAAGGCACTAGTGCAGTGGGCTCAATGCATGATATTTGTTTTCTCAATCAGTGGACAATCGAGGGCCGAGCGTATATATGTTCAACGTAGTATTGTCAATTTGTCACTGTTAGAGTTATATGGATGTTCATTATTCCAGCTACTTTGTCCTTTGGAGTTACATATATATTCAATAATAATTCAGACCATTATTTTGGTAAATATATTGATTGTGAAATTAGACAAAGAAATCAAAATAACAGGCTAGATTAATGTACCCCGCCAAAAGATGCTGACAGACAACATCCCCCAAATGCAAGGAATTGGCTTTAAAAAGCAACTTGTAATTTGTGGTCCAAAATTACAAAGATCTAACTGAAATTGATGTAAGCTCTAAGAATATCTCTAAGCTACACCAAATGACAAGTTTTTTATGGTCCCCAATTTATTACCCAAGGAATACATGGGACATAGGAATCATAGTCTCATAAACATAACAGGAGAGCTGAAAACAATTTCTACAATTTTGGATCACAAGTAACATGCATTTAGTAGGCCGGTGGCGTGGCAACAGAAAACTAGGAACAACCTCTTATATAGTTGTGTGTGTGACACATACTAACATTATGAAGTACTACGTATATCATATGTGTGGTTATCGTCTTATAATAAATGACGAGACCCATACAATGTATGTATAGCTTATAACTCGTAAGGTCTTGAGAAGTTGAGACTCCTATAAAATTTATACCACTAAACCAACATTATAAACAATACACGTAGGGTTGAAGGGGTATTCAATTTGTTTTTTATAGGAGTATATATTTTTTTTTTCTATTTGCATTTCTATAACTTCTAATACACATATTTGAACATCAATGAATCTAATTTATGACTAATTAGATTAAATAATTCTTATAAATATCTAGTTACTCAATACTGTATTTTAAAAATACATATTGATCAATATAGCATAACAAAATTTGTACATGCTTTAGGTTACTTTTGTTTTTTTAAAAAAAACTTCTAGATTTATAATCTACTTTTACATAATTTTATTTTATTTTTGCATGACTTCATAATTTGGTAGATGCAATTATATTTAAACAATAATTTAAGCATAAAAAAGGTGGAATAGGGAGAGATATGGTGATATATATGCAGCAAAAAGAAGGCAGCAAAAGGAGAAGAAGGTGGAAGATAATGCGCTGACGAAATTAAATTCTGGTTTGGGCCCCACTGCAAATGCGGCGAGACGCTGCATTATCGCAGGGGAAAATAGCGCAAAAGATAACTTATTTATGTGCTTTTTTTTTTATTTAATTAATTAGGCATTCATTTGTTATTGGACTAATAATATCTATTTGGACACTTCAATAACAATTTGACAAATAGATCTGACGTGTTATGCTGGCCCACCAATCCCCAAGATGGAGGAAAGGAACCCAAAGTAGACTACTTGTACCATTATAACTTTTTAGCCCTTTTAAGTGTTTTTTAATTGAATATATAGGTGGCTTTAAGTACCTAACTAACCCATATTAGTTCTTAGCATCACTCCTAAGTTTCATGTTATTTATTAATATCTTTTTTCTATTTTCCCGATAGTCAATTTTGACCGTAAAAATCTTTTGTTGAACTCTTAATAAGAGTTAAAGAGTACATGCTTATACATATCATGAATTATAAGGTATAGTAATCGTTTTTACCTTTGCATACAATCAACTTACAATCCATCTAATAATGAATGTCCTTGGGTTACAAATTGCAACCCTGATATACTAAGTTATAGCTCTGATAGTGTTAAAGACTTAAATGGGCACAAACTGGATTGTGTAGGCTCACACATGGGCGGATCTAGGGGGATTCAAGGGGGTTCATTGAACCCTAGATTTTTTGAAAAAAAATTATAAGTTTTGATTTTTTTTTTAAAAAAAAAAAAGAAAAAAAATAAGGTTAAAACAAATTTTTGTGAAGTAAATAAACAAATATGTAACTTTGGCACATTGGTAAGGGAGTAACTAATAGAGTAGTGAGGCTTATCCTGATCATGGGTTCGAGACCAGCCATAGTTGGTTTATGAAAACATTGTATGATAGTGAAATTAATTTTTTTTTCCTTTCGATTTCTTCCGTTGTTCTTTATGAGTTAGTCCATAGTTGGTTCAATAATTTTAGGAGTAGTATGTTGGTCATTTTGTTAAGTTAGAGAGTCAAATGAATTTAGAAGTTAATGAGTTTATTTAGTGGGTTTAATCATGGCATAATACTTTCAGTTTTTTAGCTTATTATTTGTTGTTTGTTAGCCTACATATGTGGCTCTTGTATTTAGTGAATTAAGCATGAAGAAATATTATGAGTTCTTTATTTTACTTGCTTCATACTTATCTAATATTATTATTGTTTTTATCCTCTAGTACGTATTAGTTTCAACAGTCTCCTTATTCCTCTACTCCTCTTAATTATTAAATCTTTATTTGTTTGTAAATTAGTGATAATTAGATTAATTATTGATTTGTTTAATTAGTTTTGATATATTGTTGACGTACAAATTGAATTTAGAAACTTAGAATTTAAAATTTTTACTTGGTCTTTTAATTGATAATTAGAAAAAAATTTCATTGTCAAATTTGTGTTTATTGGGGACTTGGGATTTTTGTTTTTCGTGTAATATTCATTTTTTGCAATATAATTATAGATTTATCATTTATAGAAGTAGTAATGTTTTAGCACGCTTTCAAAGTATAAAACTCGAAGAATGCTTTTGTAGAGTTTTTTATTTTATTTATTTATTATTTTGTAACTGTTTAATCCATCCATTTGTAATAAAAAATTTGAACTTATATATTGAATATTTAATTAATATATGAGCATCGTTTGTTTTTTAAGATTCCGAACCCACAGTTCGGAATTTCTGGATACGCCACTGGGCTCACATGATATGTCAACATGTGTTATGCTTAAGTAGGTTGTGCTTAAAGATTCAAGAAATAATTGTATTTGTACTAGACTTGTGTAAAAATAAGAACAAGCAAAGTGAGCCAACCTATTGTGCTCATGACAGGTTCATGCGGAAACCATAGCCTATCGATGTTCCATACCCAACTTATAATAAGCTCGTACCAAATGAGACTATTTTCATATCGTACCTAACTAGCCTCGACCAATCTCTAGTTGTATAATTGTAGATTTGTGGGTGGGGTAAAAAAGATGATAGCAAAATAAGCAGTTGAGGGAAGGGTTAGTATATGGTTATCATGGAGACAGCCAAAATCAACGCTGACATGGACCGTACAATTGGATGCAAGTGGGAGACTTGGATAAAGAGTTGGTCATCAAGTAACTGTACCATACCAAATACACTTTGATGCTTTAAAGTTTATAAAGAATTGGTAGGGTCGCTTACCACCAAAATTACACTATTACCCCTCCCCTTATTAATACGACTCTTTCAACCCTTGAAAAGCCGTCTTATGATACATACAAAACTTTCTCTCTCTAGAAAATAAAACAAGTTGCAAGTTTCTCTCTCTTAGGTCACCCAAGTTAGGCTGTCCGCCGAAAGGCGAGAAGCTCATAATTGAACGTGAGGTAAAGCCAATAGTTTGGAGCTTAGAATTTTAATAAAAAAGAAAAAAAAGGAGTTTTTCTTAAAATGGGTGTACTAAATGCAGCTATAATCTGTGGATAGTCGTCCTTTTGGATAATATTAAAAGGTAGTGGATCGATACGCAACAATCCTGCAACGCTGAGAATGTGATCTTCGAATATTTTATCTTCCAAGATTTTCATTTCTTTCCACGCGCTTTCTTCTTCGTACTACTACTACTAACTACTTGGCTCTTAATTTGCTCTCTCCCTAGCTTTGTACTTCCCGTACCCGTCCAAACTAGCCTATTTGGCTATATTCCATTATATCGATTTGGTTGATTTAAACACACTCGAATACAATTATGTACATAGTAATATGATACATCACAATTTAGTTTTATTACTTGAATGAAATTAATATTGTACTCCATAATAATTTTGTGTGGAGTCTCTAGGTAAATGGAGGTGAAGGAACATTACAAAATCGACGTGGAACTTTTTGGTCCAATAACATTAACATGAATGATATTTTTGATAATTGACTTTTTTGTTCCAATATTTGATTTTGATTCTAACACTATGAAATCACATTCTCTTAATACGTTTCTCTCAAGAGTAATTCTATCACTACACACTGATGTTCTAGTCAAATTCTTAAATTGAGGAGCTGGTGAATTCTATCATTATTGGAGTATATATTTTCAAATTTCAATAAATAACAGTATTTGTTGATGTAATGAAATCCAAAAAGGTTTAGTTAAATGTTTCCCACTAACTAGGGATGGCACCCTTCGTACTTTAGAGATGAGCAAGTCAATGCAATGAACTTATCAACAAGATCAAAGATCAAGGATTGGTTGGAAGCTAAAGAGCAAAACTCACTATTATAATTACACTATTTTTTGTACTTGAATGGTCATTCATATCTAAACTAAGTCACCTAAAGAGATCTTGCCATGGTTAACTAATAAACCATTATTACAAGAGGATAATGTTATAACTTTTTAAGGATTATTTTTGACGGACAAATTAAAAGATTTTCAAGTAACAGAGTAGAGTAAAGATGAAGAATCTGAATATATTATATTAAAAAAAAGTGTTAGGTACAACTTTGATAAATACAAATAATTCGTTTCATTTAAAATATACACAGTTTAAATGAATAGATCATAGATCATAAAGTTAACATTTCAACCTGTGGTAATTGAAAATAAATCCCATTTCAAAGGAAGCAATATTATAGGCTCATAGCTATTTTGTGATGGACTACCAAATTAACAACCAACCTCACCTTTCAGAATTAGAAACATTAATTAAAGATTAAAAATTACTACACCAACAAGAAGTAAATAAAATAATTGAGCCAAAAATACAATTCTTATTTTTACTCATACGTAAACTTACACGTAGTCATAGTCACAGATCAAAAAAAGTGACAGATCCAATGAGAAACCCCGAATTACCCCAAAATTAAAAAAAAAAAAAAAAAAAAGAAAAAAATAATTAAAAAAAAAGGAAGAAAATAGACGCCGCCCAGCATTCATCTTCCTTTCCCCGCATTTTAGGGTGAGAAATCTTTGCCGCCGGTCATTTACAAAAATCTTCCCGGAAAAATCTAATTTCCGAAAATAACCTTCTTATCCCACTCCACTTGATTATTTTTAATCAAACACAAAATTTCCTCACCACTAAATTAATTAAAGAGGGTAAATTGTAAATAGATCTAAGTTAAAATAAGTTGGATTTACTCCACCAAAACGCTTCGTTTTGTTTAACCGACGAATAAGTTCAAGAGTTTAGGTTGGTAGTAATTATCACTCTCGAAACTGACAGTAGTTGCCGATTCTTCGGAGTTCAACGACGGCGTTCCCGGCCGTTGTTGCGGCGGCGCGTGGAGAAAAGTCGGCGGTGTAAGGCTTAGATCGAGATGTTTCACGTGATAATCATCTTCTTCTTTCCGCCTTTTACTGTTGGTGAACCTTGGAGGTGGTGGAGATGACCGTGATTTCTTAATGTTGTTGTTAACATCTTGGTGCATCATGTTTAATCCACCAATCTGCTTCCGCCACGTGTTGGTGTTAGAATTGGAAGGACAAACAACCTCGGAATTGTCATCGGCGTCAACAATTGTCGGGACCGGAGATGGTGGAGCTCCGACAAGGAATTCGGAGATTGGTCGGAGTGTTCCGCCACGTAGGACGGTTTCAACGGCGGCTTGACACACGTGCCAGTTTCCTGTCCATAGTAACCCTACGGCGCCACTTACTGGGTTCACGGTTCGGCCGCATGCTTCGTATAATAGTGACTGGAATAGAGCTGAAATTAATTTTTTAAAAAAAAATCAATAAACATTGGTCCAGAAATAATATGGATGCGGAAATATTTTTAGGAAATATATTTAATGCTTATATAAACGGGTTCTTACCAGGGCGTTGAGAGTCGGGGACGTTGGAGATGAAGGACATGAGACCGGCACGGCCGAAGAATTTAGCGACAAAGACAGTGGCGTGACCTTGAGATTCAGGGGTGTCAATCCATTGAAGACAAGGTCTTAAGATGCAAGATTCGCTGCATCCTTTTCGAAGAACTCGGCAACCATTGCAACTCATTTTTGTTTGGTTGTCTTAGGAAAATAATCAATTAATTAAGAAGTGAGGTGCATTAACTAGAAAGAAGAAGAAAGAAGGCTGTTTTAAAAACTTGGAGAAAAAGAAAGAGAAAGGGGAGAATAATAGGGTGTGAAGGGAGCAGAAGAAGGGAGATTTATAGATTTAAGAGAAGAGAAACAAAGTTGAGAGATGGGTTGGGTACTTGGGTTAGGTTAAGTTAACCCAAGGGTTGAGTTAGTTTGGTGGTGGGGTGGTAATGTGGTTTGTGAGTTTTTAACAACAAGAAAGAAGGGGGCAATTTGTGTTTTATTTATTTTTAATTTAATTTATTAATTTAATAAGTATAAAAGGATAAATAAAAAAAGAAAAAAGAAAAGGGGTCAGATTCCAAAAGACTTGGGGGGAGAGAGGGGCAAACGGCCGCGTTTCTCCGCAAATGGGGAAAGAGAGTCCACCGTTGGATTCCTTCCCACTTCCTCCACCCAAGGAGAATGAACCCCAATCAACTTGCTCTCTTTTTTTTTCTTTTTTTTTTTTTTTAAATAAAATATTCTTATATTTCTTGTTGGAAGGTTTTATTCATTGCTAACTATTCACGTCTTCCTATACTTTGACATTCCTAAATAAATGCCACTTTCATGATCTATCTAGATCTTCCATTTTTTTTTAACAAAAACAGTGTTCGAGTTCAACTATTCACATTTGACTATCCAATCTTTGTACTTTCTTTACAATTTTATTAGTATCAAGGAATCTATTCAAACAAATTACAATTTTGATATAATATAATTTAATTTTAACATTTTCATTGTATGATTGCATTTTTCGCTTGATGTAGATACTCTATATTTGTTGATGTTACTAAGGTTTACATCAACATCACATTTCAAATAATACCCCGGATTAATTATAATTTGAACATGATTCTTGAATAATTATAGTTTGTGCTTAATAAATATATTCTCTTTGTTATCATAGAACTTCTAGTTTACATATTGAAGTCTACATTTTACTGTTGGTATCTTGAAGTTGTTATGGACATAATTACAAGTAGTTAACCCCACACGCCCACACCACACCGATTCATCAACTTTTCTCATGTGCATGACACATCATGAAAGATATGAACTTTCTAATTTCCACAATAGTAATATTAGCTTATTGCTATCAATACACAATACAAAGTAGTGTTTATTTTACGTCACAATAAAATAACAAAATTTTTTTTAACGAGAATAATATCACAAGATTTATCAGCTTAAATTCCCTGAATTCTTTAAGCCCTCTTTAAATAAATGTACATGTGATGATGTGAATATTAATTCACATATGAAAGATGGATTATAGTAACAAAATAAATCAAGCAAGCAAATGTTTTGGAATAGTATAGGCACAAAATAGGAGGGGAAGGGAGCAATCCACCACTAGTATACTACGGAGTAGATTATATTCATTTCAAAATCAACAAATTATGTTATTCCATGCCGTTTTATAAAAAAATAAAAATCATCCAATCTCTTTGGATGTGAGACATGCAATTTGGTTTGATCAATGATATATTCTTGAAGGAGCAATTCAATCAGCAAAAGAGGTAAGGCCCACGAATTATTCTTTTAGAAAATAATAATAATAAAAATATTATTATCCAAGTCACTTCCACATGGGTAGTGAGGTCATTAGCCATGCCCATGCTCTTACCCAGGCCACCAAACTCTTTTACTACTGTTATAATTTTTTAATTAAATTGATTTATTTATTAACAAGAAAAACTGATATTGCATTTGTATGATGATGTGTAATTGTGTGGACTCTCAACTTATAAATACATAAAATAAACTATAGTATTAAAACTATAAATTAATAAGCCAAGGTTTAATTGAGGAGATAATGATATGAGGATCGGAAGCCTTGTATTGATGACATTAGAGAAGAACTAGTTGTAATATTATTATAAGTGAGGTAGACAATTTTGTAGGATGTTGGAGTTTTTGGCCACCACCGCCTATGATATTGTTTCGGGTTTGCCGCGTCTTGTATTATTTATACAAATACCAAGTGTTTCGTATTTCTTTTGTCAAGGTTGATAAACTATTGGGTTCTATGTATCAGTTTTATCAATTAGATTTTGAACTTTAGTTGGAGTGATTTCACGTGTAAGCAAAATAATATCGAACATGGATTGTAAATTTATAAGGTTCTAGATCTACCCTTTGTCTAAGCCCCAAAATATGGCCAAATAGTTAATTAGAAAACATTGTTTTAGTTTTAGTTGTTTCGCGTAAAATTACAAAGACTACTATTTTTTTGAAGACTAGTAGTTTTTGTAATTTTACGCGAAACAACTAAAAACTAAAACAAAGACTACTATTGTCTACTACAACTTAATATCCAAATGACTTAAGGAAGACAAGACTTTATTTTTTAAAATTAAAGGAATGAAATTAACTAAACAAATATCCAGAAACATCAAGGAATTTTAAACAAAACTTGTAAAAAGATGAAAATGTACAAAAGTCAATAGTCAATACTACAATAGAAATGCTAGTATCACCCTAACAGATCCCAGTTGCAACTCTAGCAAGTTAACTAGAAATTAGACGGGACTTGATTAGTTACTAATTAAAATTGACAAGTAACCAATAACTTTAAAAGTTAAAACAAAAGCTAGTCCTAACAATTATCCACTAACAACATAGGCTAATCCAACTAACATCATAAACTAACCCCACTGATAGTATTCATCAATTTAATCATGATCAAACCACTTGAAATTAGAAGCATCCAAGTTACTAATACGCACTAAAGTTGTACGGATTACGGAAAATATATACTCGTACGTCGAGTAATTAACTATATGGTTAATCCGTTTACTTAGGTCATAATTTTGTAGCAAGCATTGGAATCTACTCAAAGTCGACTTAGCTTGGTCAATGAAATCAACTCAAGCTCAAACTCAAACTCAAACTCAAACTCAAACTCTTTGGTGATTAACATGGACAATTAGATTACAGTACTCCGTAGTAGGTATTACTCTTATACAGTAAGGAAAGGGAGAACAAGGTTTACAAAAAAGATGACGTAAAAAAAAGACAAAAGAAAAAAGGAAGCCGTAGTGAGTGACCAATAAGAGGAGTCCCAAAAGAAAGGGGGGCGTGAAAATGAATAGAAAAAGGACAAGCTTTTAGTGTTGGCTGTAGAGACCACCCAGAAGTCAGGGAATGCAACCACAACTACAAGTCTACAACAACTACTGTAACTACAAAACTAACAACTAAGCTTATTACGGACTACTTATTAGTTATTACTGCCATTATTACTTAACTAATGTCTTTGTCTTTGCTTATGTGTCATCCTTATCCGCCTCACCCTCCTTTTACAATCTTTTCATGCCTTTTCCTGCTATCTACTATCTACCCTTTTTTTTTTTTTTTTTTTTGAAAGAGTAGGCTTCCTGCTACTATCTACCTAGTCTTCTTATATTTTTATTTTTTAAGGTAAAATATTTTGGGGTATTATTATTATTCCGTATTATCTTAAACAGAAAGTAAGAGTACGTTTTATTCACTTTATTTTCATTCATCAAAAGTTGTTTGTATTACGAAGTAGACCTTTTTTGAACATTTACTACATACTTGTAATTTGACCTTATCAACATTTTTTTTTTGTTGTTATTTTTGAAAATAAAGTGAATACAATAATCTTCTCTCAAAAAAAGTGAATACAATAATCTACACCTTTTACACAAAGTAGTAGTAGTAGTATCGTACACAAAGACATATAGCTTTAAAAACAAAGGGTTAATATCTTAACGTGTCTCTCTATGACATGTCAATAAGAGTTGCATCATAAATAAGGAGATGAATTTTCCACACATTCTAATAACTCATAATGACTACTATTGTCCTCTCCTACACCATTTATTGTAGCTTTCTTCATTCCCCTATTAAAGTATTAATATTGATAAATGATTTGGATTACATCATACTTATGATTGAATGGAGGACCTAATATAATGTTCCTATTATGTTGGTCTTATATGGTACGTTACGTATTACAGAGTACTGTTGATTATTGGCCTTCTTGGTTGTTATAGGACACTTAACTGTGGAGTTGTTTGTAGTGTTAATTGTTTGCTTTTAGAGGAAAATAAAATATTACTCAAGTAGTTTGGTTATATTAATGATATACGTCTTATTGCCTTAGTTTTGAATGAAACACAGTGTAAACACGGTTATTTTTTGGTATCTTGATGAAGGCATGCAACGAAGTCAATCAAAGATTAATTATTACTCGTATTAAATTGTTTTTTTTTTATTATTTAAAAAATAACGGAAAGAATGAATTTAATTGAATCGAATCGACACATAAAACATGTATCGGTAAAAGAGAAATTTCGAAATTTCTCATGAGTTTCCTTGGCATGGAGTTAAATGGATTTCTAAATTAGGGGGAACAAAAGATGGTGCACGAAGGAAAACATTTTCCAAAATTTGATGAGTTAGGGAAGTATTTTGCACTTGAATAGTTGAATTGAAGTGACCCAAGTTAAATCTATATAAATCCTTACATATTATAAGAAGAATACTTGGAAGCAAAAGTCAGCAACATCGTTATCTTGATGATAAATTAAATGAAATATCACAAACTCAATAAAGCAAGCTGCTGGGACCGTAATTTTGTCGTATAGCTAAAAGAGACAAACATTTTCTAGTTTAGCTATAATATTAATTCTAAATCACTTCAATCATATCAATACAAGTATAAAGAGTTCCATAACGTTAGCACTTTAAATTAAGATTAAATGATAATACTCTTATTTAATGGATAGATCATAGATTACTATGAGTAACATTATGAAAAAGACCATAATGCCCTAAAGTATGAAAAGCAAAGGTTAAAGTAGTATTCACAAAACATGTATTTAATGAAGTTTTTTGATAATATGAGTTTAGATATGTTCTTATTGACTATACACTAATACACCACTCACTCCTCTAAATACTTTCAATGTGTACAAATAATTAAACATATGGGAACTAACTTGGGCATTGGAGGCTCCAAAGAAATGTAAATAATTAAAGGTTCAATTAACTCAAATAGTAGACACCTGATAATCCTCGATCTTCATATTGTGCACCAAATAATGTGTAATGATAACTCTAAAAAAAAAAAAAAAAAAAATTCAAATAATACCTCCATTAACAAATATTAAGTAGTTTCTAGTCTAAATCATATCCTCTAATGTACTTAAACAATGAAATCTACTCAGCTAGTCATGTTTGATTAAGATGTAATTCCCAAGTCCTAATGATAGCATCCCTATATAATTGGCGTCGTATTACAACTTTAGGTGAAAATTAATTGATGGCCACATATTAACAAACATTATTACTAGCACTACTTAATTAGATATAGCTCCTAGCCCATGGGCTCGGCCGATTGGACCAATTGCCACCTCATGCACCTATGTACTAAGTGTACTTATAGTATAATCATCAAGTCCCTAAGCTCTTGCATAAAATCGTCACACACTATAATTATTATTATTATTATTATCCGACTTTGATAACTAATCCGACAAAGTATTGCATCATTATCAAGATTAACATAGCCTCGTATAAACATCTTTTTATAAACATGTCTCCGTAAATTATATAAAAATCGTAGTTAGGGTGTATACATCTATATATATTGATTAACGAAAATATCCCTGATTAAGGAGAATTACACGATTCCACCAAACCAATTCATACAAATGTGAGCTTTTTGAAATGAAACAAGGAAATAGATTTAATCACAAATGAAACATGAAGTGGGTACACTGTACACAACATAATGTGAGCTCAACCTATGACTTATTTGTTATAATTTGAAATGAATAGTTATTTGACCTAAATTAAATTTTAAAAATAATCCAAAAATTATGTCGAATTCAATCATGATCCATATTACTCAAAAGGTAACAACACTATAAACAACATAATTGACATGATTTCAGAAATTATATTCCTCAAAAAATTTAATGTTGTCCTTTGAAAGACTGAAAGTTCCCAAACCGAAAAAGAAAATTGATTCCTTAATGAATAATGACGTAATTTTCCACTCATTATTCCTAGAACGATTAAATCTTGTCCTAAGAAAAGTTCCCAATTAAAGGAAAGACAAATGAGTTTCAATCAAATTTACAAGGACGGTCCATCCACTAAGAGAAGCAACAGAAACCACCAATGTCTAAATAATATACTCGTTCGTCAATATCAACGTACCAATTGTCTCAAAAGGGACTTTAGTCGCGGTGTTACGATTAACTAGTGGTTATTTTCAATTAACTCTTTATATCTACTACTGATCCGCTCGTATAGAATTGTAATTTAGGCCCCGTTTGGAAAATTAGTTTTCATAGAAAACATATTTTCAAGGAAAAACACAATTGCAAATTAGTTTTCCTTTGTTTGGTTGCATATAAGAAAAGTCCAAGAAAAATAAAAAATAAGAGTGAAAATGTAAGGATGAATGAGAGGGAAGTAAAAAAAAAAAGGTAAGGAGAGAGGAAAATGTGGCTTCCCTTGTTTTTGGAAGGAAAATATTTTCCATCATTAAGGATGGAATTTTCCACCCTTGAAAAATTGTTTTCCACTCCTTAACAAACCAAACAAAGAAAAATGAGAAAAAATGAAAAATTCATTTTCCATGAAAACATTTTACATCAAACCAAACAGGGCCTTAGTTAAAATCTTCAAAGATTTTTTGTCGAAATGAATATTATACAACTCATAAGAAAATGACAATCCTGCTAGACCTAGTCATGTTTGGACAACAATTATCCACCCTAAATTGTGGCCGGGCTACTTTTATGTGAGTACGACTCGAGTTATGTGCATGATTTGGGCCAATTTTATGCCCGGCCAACACTAACCAACCTATCAGCACTAAGACAGATAAACCAATAACATGACACAGGAAAAACATCTTTACCAGGGAAAAAATTAATAGTCTAGTGGAAAGGTAAATCATTTAGCTGAGCATTTCTTTTTCAGGTGGACTGAATCAATGGCTTTATTATATGGTGCAAGAACTGTAGTTCCTATAGATCTTAAGAAGAAGCCATGGGAACAGGAACATCCCCTTCACAACCGGTGGCACCCCGATATACCGGATGTTGCAGAAGTGAAGGTTGGGGAGGTTTTCAGGGTAGAAATGGTAGACTTCACTGGAGGTGGTATCAAACATGACTCCTCTGCTGAAGACATCAAGCATGCTGACCTTTCTGTGGTATGCTGCTTTGTCTCACACTCTCACCTCCTTTTCTACTACGTAGTAAACTAGTAGTATATTTAATGATAACTTCAGACTGTCCAGTTTAACACTGTCACTTTTTCCTGGAAAGGTGAAGGTGATCATAAGTGAAGTCTTATAATATAACCTATACTTCACAATTCACTATGTTCTTTGCTTTTAATTTCTTATGCATATACAATTCTATACATTTTTTGGATGGTAAGACGAAAAGTATTATCGGATCTCTTACTGGTCAACTCAATCCAAATTTGCACACTAAGGTCGTTAGACTTGAGACCGGGGGGGGGGGGGGGGGGGGGGGAGCTGGTACCAACACACATCATATATGTATGTTGTATGTATATACATACATATTAATTGTATATTCGTATTGCAGTGTTTTTCATGTATAGAATATAAGTACTGGAAAAGAAAAGGATTTGTTCTTTATATAAAAACACAGAAAAAATAAATAAATAAATAAATAAAAAAGTGTACGGGTATCAAGAAAAGATATTCATCTATGAAAAGAAGCAAACCAGGACCCTAGATGTCAAACTCAGTACCCTTGAGGCCTTGATTGATAGTTATCATCTCATATTTGTCCATTAAGAAAATTAATACTTGTATGAGAAAAGGACCACCAGGAAAGAAAACAGGTTACAGAAATTTGTCACTATTAGGCATTTTCTATAGTCTAAATCAGACAATATATCAACCAAATGCATGGAATGTCACTGGAATATTATTAAGTTGAGTTGTCAGAAACATATGGTATGCTAGTAAACTAAAACCACAAAAATGGGTCCTCGTACACCAACATTAGTGGTACCAGTAGACTTGAAGAAGAAACCATGGGAGCAAGAGCTACCTCTTCATAATCGTTGGCACCCTCAAATACCTCCAGTCGCGGAGGTAAAAGCAGGGGAATTCTTCAGAATTGAGATGGTAGATTGGACAGGAGGTGTTATCAGTGATAATGACTCTGCTTCTGATATAAAATTTATAGACCTCTCAACTGTAAGAACTTAATACCTTTAGGCTATACTAGTTTGTAGTATATCAAACTTCATACTATTATTTGTTTAAGATGCCGAACTTTATGCACAGACATCAGATTATCAACAACATTTCTGATTGAATACAATCATATGATTTGGAAGTTTAGTTGTGTTTATAACTGACTTGAAATTGAACCAGGTTCATTACTTAAGTGGGCCAATTAAAGTTTCGGATGTAGATGGAATTCCGGCTAAACCAGGTGATCTTCTCTCAGTGGAAATATGCAATTTGGGTCCTCTGCCTGGGGATGAATGGGGATATACTGCAACTTTTGACAGAGAAAATGGGGGTGGATTTTTGACTGACCATTTCCCTTCTGCTACTAAGGCTATTTGGTATTTTGAAGGGATTTACGCGTACTCAACTCATATACCAGGTGAGACCTTTATCCACTAGTCCGCAACTATTAGTTAAGGTTTACTGCAATGGATGATTTATGGTTTTAATGCTTTTCCAACCTATGCTACTCGGACTCTTCAATTCACCTCAAATACCCATGCCGGAATCTTGACACTTCAATATGAGTATGGACACTTGACATATCCTTTTGAACCAAAAATCAGAAAACAGCTCATACAATAATTGAGTTTGTTACTTCAACGAAGACCAAAGTTAGACATGGATACCCAAGTTTCAGTTACATAGTTTCCAATTGTTAACTAGGTACCCAGAAAGATTTGTGAAGTTACTGTTCCATTCTGAGTTCTGACACAAGATCTATGTTTGCTTCTACATGCATATATATCAGGAGTACGTTTCCCAGGTTTAACCCACCCTGGAATAATTGGGACTGCTCCTTCAAAGGAGCTCCTTGATATATGGAACGAAAGGGAAAGCGAAGTTCAAGAAAACGGTTTGAAGTCTCTAAAGCTGTGTGAAGTTCTGCATTCTAGACCACTAGCAAACTTGCCATCACCCAAAGGCTGCCTATTAGGGAAGGTAAGAAAAGTACGGAGTTTAATTGTAAACAAATACTAAGAGAATGCTGTTTGATTATTCTGATGGAATACTGGTCCTGACTCCTGAGTAGATAGATAAAGGCACACCAGAATGGGAAAGAATTGCAAAAGAGGCAGCAAGAACAATTCCAGGTAGAGAGAATGGAGGAAATTGCGACATCAAAAATCTTAGCAAAGGTTCAAAGATTTACCTGCCAGTGTTTGTCGAAGGAGCTAATCTTAGCACAGGTGATATGCACTTCTCTCAAGGGGATGGTGAAGTCTCTTTCTGTGGCGCAATTGAAATGAGCGGCTTTCTTGAACTCAAGTAAACTTTCTCTACTCCTCTTTTCTGCACTTATGCTGCAAACAAAAAAAAAACTTTAAATGTAATAACAAAGCATTACAACCTAAAAAAGTTGTATCACTAGCATACCAAAAAACAGATCCCCTGCAGAATCCTGCTTGTGCAAACAAAACTCATTACGATTATACCACCTTTTTCCTAAAAGATAACAAGCCACACTTTTAGTTTAGTTCATTCCAAACCAAAAAAAAAAAAAAAATTAAAAAAAAAGGAAAAAAAAAAGGGTACAGTGAAGCTGCAAGCCTGTAAGTAAATTATATTTATATTATGTTAATATGATTTCTAAAAAGATGATCAAAATCAAACATGGCCTATATAGAGATGGAGGGTATACTAATTTAATCTGTGGCACTAAAGGCATGTTATTTTGTAGACTGACATGAAAGGCAAGAAAGAGAAAAGAGCAGAAAAATCCAGCAAAATACAACATCAGAATTCAGATGATAGCTTTGTTTCAGAAAAGAGTACATTTTCTACACCTGGGCAGTAAATGACGCTAAGAAATACTACAATACTATCTAAGAGGCCAAAAGACAATTAAAAAGGTGTAATATAAGATGATTTAACAGACTTCATATAAGAAGTTGATATTACAATCAAAAGCTAGGAGATTATGTACATGTATGTATTATTGTACGGCTGCTAATAACAAACTACTATCACTTATTAGGTGTGACATTATAAGAGGAGGAATGAAGGAGTATCTCACACCAATGGGTCCAACTCCCCTGCATGTAAACCCCATCTTCGAGATAGGACCAATTGAACCAAGGTTCTCAGAATGGTTGGTATTCGAGGGCATTAGTGTTGATGAGAGTGGAAGGCAACACTACCTTGATGCAAGTGTCGCTTATAAGCGTGCAGTACTCAATGCCATTGATTACCTCTCCAAATTTGGTTACTCAAAGGAACAGGTTTGATTCTCATATGCAAAAATGTAGCTGCTAATTCATATAACTAATTAGGAAAAATTATCTTACCCTTAGAAACTGTTGGAATGCTTGCCAGGTCTATCTCCTGCTATCTTGCTGCCCTTGTGAAGGAAGAATCTCTGGCATAGTTGACTCCCCAAATGCTGTTGCCACCCTTGCAATACCAACAGCCATCTTTGATCAGGTATTAGTTTCATGAATTAAAAACGACTTTAAACTACATTGTTACAGCCTATTTTACTCCATCCCTTCATTTCACCTCAATAAAATGAAATTTTCATAAAATAGTCAAGTTTTACAATCGGACCCATACTCTTGTCTAACACGGAAAACAAAGTCCTAAATAAAGTGCACCCAAAAATCCCTCTTTTCCAGAAGTTTTATCTGTATGCTGTGGCTGCAGGACATTCGACCTAAAAGCAGAAGGATTCCTGTCGGCCCAAGGTTAGTGAGGAAACCAGATGTCTTGAAATGCACTTATGATGGTAACTTGCCTATTACAAGAAACCCAGCTGCTTCAACATGACTAATGCAAGCAGAAAACATAACTACTCTTGAGCAGGCCCTTTTTCACAGTAGTTATAGGATGTTCAAAAGAAATGAATGGGCAAACTTGCACCATTCAACTTCTTTTTTTTTACAAAAATCTCATACTCTCTCTATGTTATCAGTTTAAAATAAACATTTAGAAAGAAAGCTAAATAATTTCTTTTTGTGCAGCAAAAGGATGGAAATGCTACATTGATGCTAATTCCAAAAAAGCATGACCAAATTTACTTGCACTAGCTTTTAAGAATACATTAATCATCCTAAATTTGACAAGATCAGAAGACGCAAAATAAATCTTCAACGTATGTATGCATGATGATTGATAAATTAAAATAAATAAAAAGGGCTACGTAACAGCAGAGCTTCAGTAGTATTTGGAAAGTGTCCTGTGGTGAATGAGAGAAGGTAACTGAATGCTATAAGACCATAAGCCAATGATCCAGCTCGCTCAGCTCCTGTTATAAAAACTCGTCAACTACAAGGAGAGGAACGAGGAGTAGGAATTTCATGGTATAGAAGCTTAGTGTAATAGTGTTTGTAAGGATACTCTTGAGTCTTGACCCTTGAGAGTGGAGATATAGATTTGGGAAATCATTGGCACCTACTGTCCTGAAGCACGTAAGTATCTTCTAAATGACTAATTAAACTAAGTTCACATCGTTCTGATGGTAATTTTAGTACCAGGAAAGAATTCTATACTTGTTAAAGCTTCTTGCTCAGAGCAAAAAGATAAAGTAACAGAACAGACAGGATGAAAGCCAATGGAAAAGAGACAATTGTTATATTATTTTGTTCTCTTGCAATAAGGAAGAACATCCAGCACCTTTCTTTTACAAAATCTTTTCATTTCAGAGAGACCAAGAGTTAGAGTTAGCATACTCAGTATCATTTGCATTAGAAAAAAAGAAATGTAGATGCGTGAAAGACTAATGTACAAAGACCATCAAAAATGATCCATCACTTCATCAACCACAATCCTTGGCTCACAAAAAAACCCATGTTGCTAATTCCAGCAGTTTGTATTTCTTTTGAGCCAATATGACATTGCGCTCAAATAGATTTCAGGTTACAGCCTTTACAGGCAACAAAAGCATGCTCAAAACCCATTTCCAGGCTGGTTTATGACATCTCTAATTAGAAGTTTAGAACAGATAGCACATTAGCACATCAGTCAACAGGTAACTTAGAGCTTTGATCCCCCAACGAAACATACACTAAGATAGTGATTTTTTAGTAATTTATAGGAAGTGTCAGGGTAAACAATATAGCAAATCTGCCCCTCCCCCTCCCCCACCTTCACCCAACCCTGAAGTCCTGCACGATCCATGCTCAAATAAGGTTCTATTTCAGTGCAGCACCTGGTCTCAGTTTAAAAGGTGAGTTCATATCACAAACTAGCACCAGAAAAGAAAGTGATTGCAAAAGACATTCAGATTTACCTGCTTCCAAGCTTTTCAGCTGGATCAAATCCTTCATCTTTTCTACAGCATGGATGGAGCAAGCTCGCAATTCTACCTCAAAGGCATCACCTCAGTGCCAGAGCTATCCCGCCATCTCATTCAACCATGCTAGCAAGTGATGGATTGTAGTTTACTGAAGTTAAGCATACAAAGATGCTGCAGAACAATGTATTCTGCAATATTGTGACAGAACCTGTCACAGAATTCCACTAAACCCTAGTACTTGAATGCACCCCACAAATCTGCTGCAAATATCTTCGCCCTTCTGTACAAAAAACTTGATGGCCTTTATATATTGTGTGATCACTAAAGTATGCAGCATGTATACAAAAAGAATTTAGTGAGATAAAAGTTGCAGAAACGTCGTGCATTTCAAAAAAAAAAAGTTATAGAAGACCTTTTATAGGCTTTATGAGGGATCTGCAGGAGCAAATATTACAGAACACATGCTAAAGAGACATGGACACCAGCATGTGAATACCACCTCATGGAGTAAGCGAGCTCACTCATCTTCTAAAGGAAGTGATTGCGGCCAACTTTAAAATTTCATAAGTTCAGGGCCTGAAACAACCTTCACAAATTTGAGTTAAAGTAACCTAAATGTATGGGTAAATCTGTGTATATACATTTGCAATGTCAATCACCACTCCAAATTTCAAGAAATTGTTCAATCTATGTAAGAAATGCAAACCTAAGGCAACTATATAAGCATTTAATTGCGAAGAATGCAAACACAAACAGATGAAAAAGAACAAGTAATTCATGAACAAGTCAAACGTACACCACATTTAAGTACTTTTGTATCCTTTGTAGGCAATCTAGAACAATTTTTTCATCAAATGTAGAATTGTCATGCTTCATAGCTCTCTTTAGTTTCAAAAAAAGATGGTCATATTTTCTGATACTAATATACTCTAATGACACCTAGAAATGTAAGTACATTTTCTGATAAATAAGCTTGCTTTGAGTAAAAGCTATACAAAAATTGCAAACATAACACGTGGGCTAAATTAAGCTAATTATTACACTATGTACCCAAATAAATCCCAATTCAATAATGTAGAACAAAGTCCATGAACATCAGAAAAATAACATGATAAAGTCGAAAATGCTGAAAACAAGTCAGATTTCTGATTTCTGAAAAGAAGGTATGATGCATTATTACAAATCTTAGGAAGACTGGTGAACGTGAGATAATCTAAAAACACATTGTTCTCTATCACATTAGAGTACACACAATAGAGCATAGACATAGCATACGACGACATTAAGGTTACTACGTAATTAATCACGTTGTTTATCAAAATAAACATGGCTTAACAAATCTCTCCTGCCTCGAGCTCATCAGTCATCACATGTTATTGGAAACTAAACCATATTACTTCTCACAAGTACTCGTAATAATAAAAAAAAACACGAGTAGAGTTGATCATGGGTCAGATTATACATTCGAACTAATTCTGGAGTCGAATTGGCGTGACTTGACAAATTGACATAATAGCGAGGCCCATCATGTCAAATTGTCAAGTAACGACTAGAAGCAGATGCACCCAAATGCTGTAAGATGCAGTACATACATTATACATACCGGACAAATACAAATAATTGTAATTGTATAAGACAAACTCGTTAACCTAACACGATCCTAAGATTGTCTGTACCAATGAAATTACGAAATTCTGAGTTACCAAATACAATAATACGAGTAATAATTTTAGGATAAGATAAAATTAAATATGATATACGTTACATACCAGGCCAAAAGCTAAAATTCATGAATAAATAATGTATACCCTAATGATCCTTTATCAATTTCTTTGCAATTTCTAAAATTATGTCATCATTATCATGCTCAATTAAAAATAAAGTGCATTAAGAATATGAACTTTACAAAAATTGGTAATAAAGAAAGGAAAATTAGATAGAGAAAGTACCTGGAAAATCGATGAAAATATGGGATGAGATGAGTTTTTTTTTTTTTTTTTGACAAGGATGAGATGAGTTTGAAGCAACCCAAACGGCGGATAAAGGAATGAAGTTGATACGAAAGGATTTGGAAGTTGCGCCTTTTATTTTATAGAGACGAGAAAATTTCCCGCTTTTGTGTTTTTTCTTTCTTTGGTGTGTAGCACGGTCGTGTGGAGCGTGGACTATTAGGGGAACATGAAAAGTATAAACTTTTCCCGAATTTTGTTTAATTGCACCATTTGTGATTTCATGTTTGCTTATGAAAAGTATAGGAAATTTTGTTAGAAAGGACCTTTTAAGTCCATTTGTTTGTTAAAAAGGACCTTTAAAAGCAAAAGTTGTGAAAAGGGTACAATTTTTGACAAAAATTTGTGACTTGGGACCACACGTTGGAATGTCAACGTTGACTGGTCAACTCCGGCGTTGACCAGCACGTGACACTCACGTGACATTAGTTAAATGCAATTGTGGGATTCCTCTTGCTCAAAGGACCTCGTGGACTCGTGATAATCCTGGTAGAAGGTTCAAATCTTGCAAGTTCTATAATTTCGAGACAGGAAAGAGAGGTTGCGACTACTTTGAATGGGTTGATGAGGACATTTTGGAGTGGCAGAGGGATGTAACTAATGTGTTGATCTCTGAAAAAACAGAGACTTACCACTGATATCAGTGTATACAAGGCTAGGGTTGCTTGTATGGAACAAGAGAAGAGGAGATTGAATGAAGAAAATCAGAAGTTGAAGCAACAAATAAAAAGTAGCAGTGAAGGTGTTCAAGCACTTGAAATTAACACATGGGGGACTATAGTGATATGTGTTGTTGTTTCTATCGTGTGTAGTTTAATTATGGTCAAACTATTTGTTTAATGGGAAGTTTAGTGTAGTGTAGTTGTCTGTGTTGATGAATATGGAGATGTAATTTGAAAATTTCAATGAAATGAATTAATTTTGGTTATTTTGTGTACAAATATTGTCTATAATTGAGAACAATGATTAATGGCAAAATGTGAAGACATATATTATGCAATTGACCAACTGCAAAGACAAATTATACAGCCCATAATTCATAATTGTCATGAAAAAACTTAAGACCATAATTGTATCAAAATACATAATAATTCATTGTTACTCAAAAATCCAACAACATACTTAAATCTAAAATGTTATTGCTTAGATACACAACTGCCTTGAGATGGTTGAGATCCTTGAAGAGCATTGATAGAAGCAGTTTTCTTTTTCTTCCTATTGTCAACTTGTGGTGGTTTAGTTGTCTTGGAAGCTGGTGCCCTGGTTTTAGCTGCTGCAGATGGCCTAGGAGCTGCTACTGCTGAAGTTGTTGCAGCACTCCCTGTTGCTGGTGCTGCAATTGAAGTTGTTGCTGGTGCCCTTTCTGCAGCCCATGATGAGGTTCTTCCTCTCCCTCCCTTGTTCACTAGACCCTTTTCTTTGGCATGATTTCTACAATATTTTTTGTTGTGCCCTAAACCCCCACAATTTGAGCATGAGTTTTGCTTCCTAGCCCTCTTCACTTGCTGCTCTTTTGCCTCACCTGCTTCTTTCTTTCTCTTCTTTTTTGAAGGTCTACCTGGCATAACTCATAAAGGAGGTGGGAGGGGCTCAGCCAAATGTACCTTGTCCCATTGCTTTTGGCCAGGCATGGCATGGAAGGTTGGTGCATATGTTGCTGCATATGTTGCAACATGGTATGCAGGATGAATGAAATCCTCATAACTCAACCTCCTCTTGGCTATGCATGCTAAGGCATGCCAACAAGGGATACCAAGCAAAGACCACCTGTAACAACCACAGGTCTTATGCTCCAAATTAACCACAAAACTGTCTCCATCATGATCAACCTCAAATTCATGAAGATCAGCTTAGGTAAGTCTCATACTCCCAACCATTTTTTGCCCCCTCTCAATCATTTTGACAACTGAAGGCATTATAACACCTTCAAAATTGGCTAAACCCTCCCTTTTTGCACAACACCTGAGCATAACATATCTCCTAATCCACTCCATTAGTGACAAGATAGGTTTAGCCCTAGCATCCCTCAAAACATTATTAAAGCTTTCACAGCAATTGTTTAACAGCATCCCAGATTTAGCCCTAGTACTAAAACCATGCCTAGACCAATGACACACAGGAATGTCATGCAAGTAAGTATAAGCCTCTGG